AATGAGATTGAAGAAGGAAATCGAATCCCTTAGGGATTAGGTTTAGTATCTTTCCTAGTTGGATTAAGTTTAGTATTTAGTATCTTTCCTAGTTTGTTTAATTCTTATTTTACTAGGAATAGAAATTTTCTTGTTTACTTTACCATCTTCCCATATAAAGAGGGTTATATCTTTGTATTCAAAACCAATTCAGAAGCCAATTCAATAAACAGAAATATTTTCTATCTTATTTTCTACATGGTATCAGAGCCAGTTTTGAATTCTTGAAGCCTCAAACACGCTTCTTCCCCTGCTGGTGGGCATATACAATTCAATGCCTACCGGCGGGATATTGTTTTTTTTATTTTCTTTGATTGTTCTCCCTCACTAAAGAATATCATGAACTCCTTCAACGAAGAACATTGTTGTCGAGAAATTTCGCCCAACCATCATTCTTGAAGAAGTGGTCGAACAAGGGTTGTTCTACAAAGACAAACAACTCTTTCCGCGTCTACTATTCACGATTGACCGGCATCGCGTCCATCGATCGTCGCCTATTGCTGCTGTCGAAGTGCCAGAACAGTCAACCGTTGCTGAAGAACGGTCGAGTGGGTCGACCATCCCGATGGCAGTTTCTCTTGATCGCGGTTACTGTTCACGATCGTCAGCATCACGTTCATCGATCGTTGCTCAGTTTATGTGGTTTAGAGCAATTCCCAATTTGTACGTGTAGGAATTGCATGTGGGACCTGCCGGAGAAGCTTGCGCAGATGCACGAATCGAGGGAATGTTTCTTGCACGTTTGGAGCAGTTCCCAATTTGGACGTGTAGGAACTGCAAATGGGACCTGCCGGAGAAGCTTGCGCAGATGCGCGAACCAAGAGAACGTTTTTTTGATGTCCAAGCTGTGCAATGTGAACTCTCATGCTCCAGCTTGAGGGGGGGTGTTAGAGATATAAGAAGGAAGCGGGATTGAAGAAGGAAAGTGTTAAAGACAGAAGAAGGAAACGAAATTGAAGAAGGAAACCGAATCTCTTTGGGATTAGGTTTAGTATCTTTCCTAGTTGGATTAGGTTTATTATTTAGTATCTATCCTAGTTTGTTTAATTCTTATTTCAGTAGGAATAGAAATTTTCTTGTTTACTTTACCCTCTTCTCATATAAAGAGGGTTAGATCTTTGTATTCAAAACCAATTCAATATACAGAAATTTTTTCTCTCTTAATTATTTTCTACATCAAGCTTGTAGTCATGGTCCAGGAAATGTTTCTTATATTCTAACAAAATTAATACAATAGCTTCCATATAAATCTCATATAGCTCTCATATCAAATCTCAAAGCTTGACTATGATATATATAACATTAGCTCAACTTGATCAACAAGTAAGCTAATCAATTTTATGACCCATAACTTTATTTCTACTTGAACCAGAATATCTCCTAATTAGAAATTAGGGGGTGAATGTAAGCTAATTAGCTCATAATTTTACTTGAAAATTAGCCAACATTCACCCCCTAAATTCTGAGTTGGATTCGTGGTGATCCTCAACTCCAAGCTTGACTTCTTTATCTTGATTCTCCCGAGGCTCGTCATGATCCGTTGCAGTGTTCTTTGAGCTCCACTTCTTTATTACTCCCTCCGTTTGGAAAAACCCTTCCCATTTGATTTGGGGGCAAAAAATAATGAAGTGTTAAATTATAGTTGATTTCCAATTTTGCCCCTGATGTGATGGGTAAAAGTAAGATGTGATGGATAGATTATTAGAGAAAAAGTATGATGTGATAGGTAGGGTAGGAAAAAGTAAGGGTAAAAGTGGTTTTTTAATAGAAAGGAGAAGTGTTTTGTTGGAAGTGGAAAAAATGAAAGAGGAAGTGTTTTTGAGAACGGAGGGAGTAGTTTTAATCATAAATTTTTGTACTTACTCTCTCACATAAAATATTTCATGTTTTGTTCTTTTGAGAAAATTGTAGAAGTTTGATGAATGTGAAACGACGAGAATTGACACGAGTATGACTCGGGAATTGTCAAAATTGATAGGGCAGAGAAGGGGAGTTGGGGTACTATACGTTCACTTAATTTTAAGAAAAGTAAATACAATTGTGTTTATGTATCCCAAATTAAAATGTTTTATGCAACGAGTAAGGAGTGAAAGTTGAAAAACATTACGAGATTGAGGAAGTAGAATTTAAAACCATTGTTATAATCATGTCAGCATCAAAAAAAGGAAGAAATAAAAAGCAACGAAGTGGCGTCAATTGGGGTTTCCTCATTTGGCTCATTATTTACATCTTTGGTTTGATAATAAAACCAGAAATGTGTGCATAGTTCACATAAATTGACAACAACGTAACAAATTAATAATAATGTTTGGGCATAGAATTAAACTTAATTGTTACATTCATGGGTGACAAATGACACGAAAGAAGGATTTCACATACTTAAATGCGTCCTTCAATTCATCCAATAACTAAAAACTCATTTGGATATCACACACAAATTAAAGCAAATTTTTAAGTGTTTGCCCTTTCAATTTTGCCTATTTAATGACACTGAAATCATCAATTAAGGTTGAAAATAAGTTAGAGTGCGTGGTAGAAAAATGTGATTAAAAAATATAACGGGTATTTTAATATTTTTTGATGAGTTCAGTTAACAAAAATAGAAATAATGGAATTTAGTTTGGAGGGCGAGACTAAAACTTTGGGAAAGATGAAGCAAAAGTTATTATTTTCGGTCTGAATTTCTTTATTACTCTCTCCGTTCTATAAAACTCTTCCCCTTTTGTTTTTTATTCCTTAAAACACTTCCACTTTCTATTAAAAAAATCATTTTTACCTTTATTTTTTCATACCCTACCTATCATATCATATTTTTTCACTAATGACCAAACTATCACATCTTACTTTTACCCATCACATTAGGGGCAAAATTGGAAAGTCAACTAAAATTACATTTTCCTTATTTTTGCCCAAAGTCAAAAGTGGAAGGATTTAAAGGAACAGATGGAATACTTAATTAGTTAATTAATTATCTTTTGAGGGTTTAATTTTTATTTTTAATGTATCACTCTGATTATCAATATTTTTATTTATATGAATATATATTATCAAAATATACTTTTTAAAATTATCTTTAATTTACAAATAAATCTATCGATATCAAATTTATATTATACGGAGTAACATAATGTGTATTTTTTATAATTTGTGGTCGTCAAAACTGAAAATATTAACAAAAGAATCTCAATAACTTAACCTTTGTTTTTCTTGGAACATAGACAAAAACTTTGATGTAGTTGCACTTATAAAACATATGGAAGAAAACTACTCCCTCTCTTACCATATACTGAGAAAATCGCACATCGGAAGTTCAAAAGCAAAATAATCGGTATATAAGCTCTTGAGTTAGACTAATTAACTAATCGATTGGATTCAATCTTTTAATGTGGTTCAACCAAAGTATCTTTACCCAATCCAATATTCCATACCTCATCCTAAATTCTATCATCTTTATGGGACGGAAGAAATAATTCCACTACTAAAACATACGTAGTACTACGTACTTTATCTGTTAAAATATGCCATTCAATGGTTGTACAAAAAAATTATCTAAATTACAATGATTGTACGGTAGAAAAATTTATTAATTAATTCAATTACCTCCCAAATGATTTCAATTATACGGAGTAACTAATTAGTTAGGGAGTACTAGTTACATTTTCTTTCTATTTTGAAAGGAAAATTAATTACTGAATACCAATTGTGAACCATCAAGAGGGGTGATGGTACAACGCGAGATGCCAACATGTTACTTACATGTTACAACTACAAGCTTGTCGTCCTTTCAGTTGCGTGCATGTTACAACTACAAGTTTGTACTTTTGGTTGAGTATAAATTAAAACTCTTCCGGTAGGCGTCATGAGTTAATTGGTTTTTTAACAAGGTATCGAAATCTTGTCGCCTTAAATATCACGAGCTCAAAATTCACCGTTATTTATTCAAAAAAAAAATTAAAATTCACGTGCAAAATTGAGACAAAAAGCTAAACCAAATCTCATTTAGACATGAATTACCATACAAGCAATTACAAATTAACTTTTCTTGACTAAAATAGTAGGGGTTAAATTTAAATCAGGGAGGGCTTTGAACTTTTTATTAATTACTGCGTACTCAGTAAAATTTTAAACTTATTGGTTATTAGAACCATTTTTACCCTAACAAAAAACCTACTAATAAGTGACCTCAACGGTAATAACCCCCCAAAATAGGTAGAGAAAGACGACGACGGACGAAGAAGCAGCGCAGCGTGTTTTGCGGAGAAATTAAAAACGAATAAAAGTGCTCGCCACGTGGACAGATTCTCCTCCGTCCGTTCACCGATCATGCAAGCCAAGGGTCCAGATTCTCTCCTACCCTCTCCAATATATACAAAGAGGAAAACAAACCCCTCCCTAGTCTCCACTGAGAAGCTAAGAACAAACTTTATTTTTTCCCATTTTTTTTCAATTTTTTTTTTAAAAAATTAAAAAATAATTGTAGTCTTTAATTAAGGTTTTAAATTTCTTGTTGCAGTGGTCGTGGCGGCGCAGCAGATGCAGTGAATTCAATGCGCCGGCCATTTCATCCTAAATCTTTTTTTACCCTGAGTTAAAAAAAACCCAAGAACAAAAAAAAAGTTACCCAAGACAGTTCTTCCACACTTTTTACCCCATTATTCAAACTCTTCTTTTTTTCTTTTCTGTGGTGAAAATAATGACTGCAATCATAGTCATAGTATAGTCGTAGTAGTAGTAGTAGTGTTTTAGGGTTTGTTGAGAATATGTTGACAAATTTGTGGTAAATAATAATGTCGTCTGGTTTTTTTAGCTTAGGAGGCGGAGGAGGAGGAAAAGATCCCCAAGAAAACAACTTAGGTGCTTCGAATAATAATGGAAACAACAACAATAATAATAATAATAATAATAATTTATTCTTGTTCAAGAATGATGAGATCTACAACAAGGGTTTTGAGCTATGGCAACAGTACTACCAGTTACATCAGCAACGGTCCGTGCAGCACCACACTGCGGCGGCGACGGAGATGGTGGATTTCGTGGTCGGGGAGGGGAAGGGCGGAGGAGGCGGAGGCGGAGAGCAGGGTCCGAGTTTTAGGGTTATGAGGCAGCAGGTGGGCGGGGGCGGTGGGGGGGTGAATTGTCAGGACTGCGGGAACCAGGCGAAGAAAGACTGCCCCCACCTGCGGTGTCGGACCTGCTGCAGGAGCCGAGGGTTTCCGTGCCAGACCCACGTCAAGAGCACGTGGGTCCCGGCCGCGAAACGCCGCGAGCGCCAGCAGCAGAGCCAGCATCAGCTCGGCTTGATGAGGTCGTCGTCGTCGCCAGATCATCATCATCTCCAGATCAAACGCCAAAGAGATGATTCTTCTTCTTCTTCTCCGCTCCCAATCACTCGCATACCCACCACTACTTCTTCATCTGGTATGTAATTTATCTGTTTTTTTTTCTTGTGTATTTGTTTTGTTTCCATTCTTTTTAATTTATATATATATAGAGAGAGAATTAAATTAAAAGTGTTTCTTTTATTGAAAGTGGGTTTTTTGATGGTTTAAATTCAAGGAATGCAATCAGTTTTCCAACGAAACTATAGGGATGGGCGAAGTCATTGGGAAATATATTTCCAAACAAAAAAGTCATTATTTTTTAGGGTTAATTATACAGTAATGAAGAATTTTAAATTTTCCGTACTAATCTATAGCATAATTATAGTGAAAATTATAACCGAGCAAAAAAAATTATAGTGAAAAGTCATTGATTATTCAGGAATATAATCTGATCTTATAGTCTAATAAGGGATTTCATTATTAATCCGTGTTAAGGGTTAATTATCTTTGAATTTCTGAGGAGGTAAAAAAAGTCTTTGTTAGCATGTTCAGGTTGTCCATACAAAGAGAATGTATGTTTTAGTCCAAAAAAAGAAAATATATATTCTCTCCATTTAATAAATTATTACCATTTTTTAATAAGAAAATACATGTCATGATAGTAATATAAAAAAATGTATTTTTTTTTTTGACAAAATAAAATCTTATATGCAATTTAGCACATTAGACCAGAATTCAATTATGTAAATGTTATTCTTGAAATAAAGAAGCTAGTCCCTCATAATATCTTCAATTCTTTATTAATAGTTGTGAGTGCGTTTGAAAACAACTTAAACGTTTAGCGTTAGAGTTTTAGAAATGTAATCTACAGCTGCACGTAGTTGTGTAGCGCTTTTAAAATTAACCAATACCCTTAAAACTCTATACAAAATGCTAAATATAATCCAAAACATTGTTTTCAACTATTCTCTATTGAGGTACATTAATTGAATAAATTTGGGTTGGTTTAATTTTGAGACTTTCACAATAAGTAGGCTAAGATTTAATGTATAAAACCTGCATGCCGTGGTATAAAACCTGCCTGCTGCACCATTTACTATAGAGAGACATTTTAGCTATCATGGTTGAAAATTGTGCATTTTGGTGATTGTGATTGGTTCTTAGATTGATTAATTGATTAGTAGTGTGACATTCTTGGACGGTTGTGTTTAATTGGTGACAAAGCAGCCTTGGATTTTCCCGGCGGTCAGTTCCCATCGGAGCTCAACTCTCCGGCGGTCTTCCGGTGCGTCAAGGTGAGCGCGATGGACGACGAAATCGACCAATACGCTTATCAGACGGCGGTTAGCATCGGGGGCCACGTTTTCAAGGGAATACTTTACGACCAGGGCCCTGAAGCTGCCCGGTCCTCTGGCGGCGGCGAGCGCCCATCCACCGCTGGCCACCAACAAGCGGCGTCGGGTGCATTGCTTGCCCCTTCTGTGTTTCCGACGCCGCTTAATGCTTTCATGGCCGGTACCCAATCTTTTCCACCCCCAAGACCTTAATTAATAACCCAAATTAAAGCTAAGTATGATCATATGTGTGTATGTATGAGTGTGTGTTTTATAGAAATGGTCTTTTAAAAAAATGCAAACAATAATGGTGGTGAATTGAAGGGAGCTCAGCTAATTAAGCTTTGTGGCATTGATGACTATCCTAAGTTGTTAATAATTGGTTTTTTTGGCCTTTGGAATTGAATTTCAAGTACATTGATGTTTTCTCAAACATTATTATGTCTAGCCATTAGTGTTTTCCATATCAACGGAAAACCCAATCTAAAATAGGATAGATCAATATTTATTACTCCTTTCATCCTAAAACTATCGTTCTGTTTGTGTTTGCTGGGTTTGATCGACTTTATTTTCAATTCAATTTATTTTATTGTAGGTGTAAAATTAAGAAATAAAATTTATATACGGAGTATTTTAAAAACTACATGAAAAGTTCTTTAAAACAAGAGGTGACAAGACTATATTATTTTATCAAATAACTAATGAAAATAAGAAAAAGAAAGTAATCTAAGTTTCATCGTGTGAATAGTAACTGAGAAGATAATTTTAGGACGAAGTATTTTTTATTTTAACTTTTAGTCAAAATATGAATTCTTTTTTTAGAAATCGTGGGAGTAATACTCCGTAATATTTATTAAAGAGTATTATTATTATTAATTGTAATATAGATTTTAATAGGGTAGGTGAATGAGATTATATGTTTCTTTGAGAGTTTCTTTTCGATTCTTTAATCCGATGCAATTATTGAATCGACATGACTAGAATTGAAGTAGAATCTCATTAGGATTTAGGTTGCTCCTTCGATCCGATACAAATTCGTATCACTTAGACACGACTAAAAATAAACTTAGCTTCTACATAAATATATCGGGAAAAAAATAAAGTAGACCAACAATTTTGATGAAATTAATAAAATGAAAGAAAAGAAAATGAAGAGAACGAAAACTGAGAAAGAAAATTTGTTGTTAGAATGAATTGAAAATGAACAGAATTGAAAGAAAATGTTAACATTTTCTTTTCCTTGTTTGGTTAAGTAGAAAAGTGAAAAAAAGAAAAAATAATATAGTAAAATAACTTTTACGCCCTTATTATAAAATAATAAAATATAAGCATTCATTATTATAAAGGGTATAATAGTCTTTTCAATTTTTTCCCTCTATTTTCTCTCCATTAGTGGAATGAGATTGTTTTCGACGAAATCCATCCCTTTTTCTCTTTCTCTCTTCAGCCAAACCAGAAAAAATATCATTTTCTCTGCTCCATTTTCATTCCTTTTTTCACTCCAACCAAACGGACATTTAATTTAGGATTTTGGATACTTTAACGTGCGTTGAAATTCATGTAAGGATTTATATCGAGGACTCTAAGAGCCTTATTTTTTATTAAGCCGCATGTTCATTCAGTTTATGTTTACGTTCAAAACAAAATAAATAACAATCTGTATAGTGTAAAAATTACATATTAAAAAACTTCATCAAAAATACGTTTTACAAAAACTAGTGATTACAAAGTTATTTTATTTTATAAAATACTCCCTCCGTTCCAAAAAATTTACACCTTTCAAAAAAATTGCGTCCCACAATCTCCTACCCATTTCTATTAAAAAACCACTTTTACCCCTTACTTTTTCAAAGCCTACCTATCACATCATACATTTTTCCTAATAATCTACACATCACATCCTACTTTTACCCATCACATCAAGGGTATTTTTGGAAAATCAACACAAAATTATCCCTCCCTTACTTTCAACTTTAGTCAAAATGTGTAAATCTTTTTGGGACGGAAGTAGTAATCGATAAAAATGCATAAAGAAAGTAGAGTTAACTTAATTTAACCTATGAATAGTAAGTAAAATCTTTTGTAGGGACGAAGAGAATAATTGTGAAATCTTTAAGTCAGTTTAATTTAGTTGTTGCAACATTTCGCATTAAATTAATGGAATGAATTTTGACTTCAAAAAAAAAATATTGTAATTTGAACAATTATACCTATACTAGCTAGGTCTACAGCTGTAAATAAATTTTGATTTTTGACACGGAGTAGAGAAGATGTATGAAACTGTAAAGGTCATGATCAAAGGAAAAAATGTTTCTACTCCGTGTAATTATAGGCGTTGACATTTGACAAGCATATTTGAAAATTATGTCATTATTTATTTATTTATTTATTTATTTATTTATTTATTTATTTATTTTGTTCTCTCTATCCCACAACAATCTTAATAGAGTTATCAAATTATATCATTAATCATACATGGTCGAAATCTATAAATTTGGAGTTTAAAAAGGAAACTAAAAAATAGATTTGGTACGTGAAGTGGGGGGTTAGTTTGCATGGGTTCCATATATGGAATGACAATGTAAATTAAGCCAATATGTGTGTGTGTGTGTGTGTGTGTATGTATGTATGTATAAAGCTTCCCATGCCTCTACACTCGCAAATACACTCTAAAGCATAATTTAAAACTTAAACTGTTTTATTCTCTAAATAGCACTGAAACTTAAGTCATTTTTCTAAATAGCACTTAAACTGTTTTATTTCTTAAATAGCACTGAATAATGTCCAATGATGACGAAAATTTACTTGAATAATGACTAAAAGTACTATCTTGGGAAAAAACACATGTGATGCTATTTAGAAACAGTAATTATGTTTTAGTGATGTTTAAGTAAGTTCCCCAATTTTTTTAATAAAAAAATGTAAACAAAAGGCTAGCCCAAAGTCTTTAGATGGATTAATTAGATGAAAAAATGTTGCTGGATTAAGATTAACAATTTCAAAGATAATTATTATTGGAAGAAATGTATATAAACATGCATGCATGTGATGGTATAGCATAGGTGATCAAAAAAGAGATATAAATCTAAAGGGTGATGTGGTTGAGGTACAAAACAACAACTATTGCAGCAATAGGAAAGTAAATTGATTTGGGATGTTATAATTAATTAATTAAAGCTGCTGCTTGCGGTATGGATAGATATATATATACATATATAGATATACATATACATATATAGGCTTCTTGATTTGGTGCTCCACCCTCTCCAACACTAAGGTACGTTGTTATAAAAATCTCAACATATACATTGAGGAGTATATAGCATATATAGTTAAATTATTATTTTTGGTATTAAAAATGACTATGAAAATTTATCATTTTTAGTATAAGTGAAATATTGTTTTCCATATTTTTTGTGTCTCAAATAAAAATCTATCAAGTAATACGTACTCTTTTGAGAAAAACCATACTTAGTATGTAGCTCACAAAAACTAATTATTTATTTGTAAAATTAATTAATCACTTACATATATAATCAGAATCTACTATTATAACTCGAAAGCTTGAACTGATAAGTAGGGTTTTACCTTTTCATATATGCTAGTAGTATTCATTTTTATTTTCCGATGTGGGAATCGATCGATTAATTGAGGAAGTGATTAATATATTAATGAGGAGTAGACAACATTAGCTACGAGGAGAGTAGATAGCCTACAGAGCAAGCTAAGCTTGAGTTCTAATAATGGGCACCTATCCCTACGTACATACATACACACAAAATTTCTTCTTCGTGTTCTAATAACCTTTTCAACTTAGGTGCCCCTTTTATGTCCTAGCTAGCTACTATAGCTGTGTAGGTTTTTATTTAGTCACAAGGTTTTTTTTTCACTAGCAATTCACTGCAGAGACTAGCTAGCTAGGTGGTTAGGTTTTCTCATCCATCACTTGTTGCTACTTGGTTCGAAGGGCATCTGCAAGTACCGAGTGCAGACTCCACTCTTTGCCACCAATCTGCGGTCGAAGTCTAATTTATCTCCTTCTCCACCATGCAAAGAAAATTTATCTCTCTAGTTTTAGCGGCTATCCTCACAAAATCACTTTCGCCAGCTCCATTCCAATACCAGTGATCTAAGTTACTTCTCGTAACTGATAGTCAGATTGCAAAGAATATTAGAAATAATAGAGATAATAGAAAAATGAAATATTAGGAGTAGCATTATTATTCAATTCCTTATTCTACTTTGGTTAGTATTCTTGATAGAATTTAGGATGGGGTATGGACAACTGGATTGGGCAATAAGACACTTGGGTTGAACCACATTAAAAGATTGAATCCAATCGATTAGTTAGTCCAACTCAAGAGCTTATATACCGGTTATTTTACTCATGAACTTCCGATGTGGGATGCACTCTAACACTCCCCCTCAAGTGGACAACCGGGCCATTTTGAATCTAACCGGTTGACCACTTGCAAATGAACTCCCATTCCCTTGACTTTTTTTTTTTGAGCGCCAACACCTAAAGGACCACAAGCCGCTGGGTATGGACTTCCAGACGAGCAATCGTGTTAAACAGGCCACAGGCCGTTGGGTACAACATCCATACGGACAACTGGGCTAAAGACTAACGGGCCGCTAGGAATGAACGTCTAGACGGACACCTTGACAAACGAGGTGGGCTAAAACTGACTCTGATAGAATTTAGGATGGGTATGGACAATTGGATTGGGCAATAAGACACTTGGGTTGAACCACATTAAAAGATTGAATCCAATCGATTAGTTAGTTCAACTCAAGAGCTTATATACCGGTTTATTTTCTCTTCAAGTTTCGATGTGGGATACTCTTTAACACTCCCCCTCAAGTGGACAACCGGGTCATTTTGAATCTAACCGGTTGACCACTTGCAAATGGACTCCCATACCCTTGATTTTTTTAGCGCCAACACCTAAATGACCACGAGCCGCTGGGTATGGACTTCCAGACGAGCAATCGTGTTAAACAAGCCACAGGCCGTTGGGTACAACCTCCATACGGACAACTGGACTAAAGACTAACGGGCCGCTAGGAATGAACGTCTAGACGGACACCTTGACAAACGAGGTGGGCTAAAACTGGCTCCGATACCATGATAGAATTTAGGATGGGGTATGGACAACTGGATTGGGCAATAAGACACTTGGGTTGAACCACATTAAAAGATTGAATCCAATCGATTAGTTAGTCCAACTCAAGAGCTTATATACCGGTTATTTTACTCTTGAACTTCCGATGTGGGATGCACTCTAACAATTCTCTCTATATATTGATGTAACCATCATTATTTAAGGATGTCAATTATTACCAAATTATATCAATATTTAAAAATTTCATCATATTTTCTAAAAAAAAAGTAAGATATGATATTATTATGTTATCCACACAAATAAGTAGACACATTTTCTAAAAGAAAATTGAAAAAAAGTAAATAAATTATTTAAGAACGTTTGAAAAATGAAACTAATGAGTTAAGAGTATACCCATAAATGTAAATTTTTTTAGTACTCCAAATTTAAACTCATACCACTACAATTAAAAAGAATTCAGATGCACTCGATCTAAAAAAGAGAATACAGATTAATTAATACTCCGTAATAGAATACTTATTAAAAAATTAGAGTTTATTGTTTCCTTTAACTTTTTATTTGAAATTCAAAAAACAGTAGAGAATATAAGACCAATAGGTTTGTGTAATTATTGAACTTATTATTACGCCAGGATATAATTATTATTATAATTTTTTGTATATCTTCTACTTTTCTTTGCTAAATTCTCCTATTTTTATTTTGCTGTCTCAACTTTTAATTAGAGTAGAGAATTGACAATTATGGGAAATAGGGAATGAACCTAATTAATGGTTGAATTCATGTTTTCCAAGTCTAATCCACTTTGTGCATGTTTCTTTCAATCATACTTTGAAAATATAAATGGGCAATGAGTACTTTGAAATATAATCCCCAAAAATCATAAGTTGAACTGTTGAAATATTTTCATTTATTTTTTATAGACTTGTAGTCATATCTCTTTCGTTTTATAATGCTCAATACATTTAATCATTTCACGTTTTAAGATCCATAAAATAAATATGAATCTAAAGATCATAAAATAATTTATCTTTTAATTTACGTTGGGACTTGCTCGAATATACTCGGGAATTTTCATAAAGAGTCTAAATCTTGACCCATAATGGGTAGTTCTCTCTTGTCCCTATATCCATCGTAATTTTTTTTCTAAACGTGACGAGAATAATTGCTTTTTTTTGGACGAATGAAAAAAAGGAAATGTAAAACTATTTTGTAAACTAATGAACCACAAGTTGTACTGTTGTAGGGAGTATTAAATTTTAGAACCGGGTAAATACTAATTGGGCTCGAATCTAAGATCTGAGCCCTTTGTATTAATTTGGGTTTGGCATGAGGGCCTGGCCCAGGCTATGAATTCGTTTGGGAAAGGCGCAAAAAACGGCACCGTTTTCGCCGACACGGTCCGATCCAGTCACCTGTTTCATACTCCGTAGTTTGGACTTTGGGAGTTTCAGACATCGCCGGAATTGGGTCCAATTTGATTCAATTCAATTTTCCACAAAGCAAAAAAAAAAAGGCAAAAAGAAGAAAAAAAAGGAGAGCTAATCTGACAGACAAAACAGTTGGAGAAGGAAGAAGAGGGATGAAGGAAGACGACGGAAGTGTGGGCGGCGCCGCCGCCGCCGCCACAGTGGACACCGGCAGGGCCGAGAGATCCGTGTGGCTGATGAAATGTCCTCTAGTTGTCTCCAGGTCATGGCAGTCTCAGGCGGCGGCGGCTACCTCCTCCGCCGCCGCAGATATTCCGCTAGTCGGTAAAGTCGTTGTTTCTCTCGATCCGCTCCAACCAGAAGACTCTCACCAAGTAACGCGCCATCTCTCTCCCTCTATTCCTGCAAATCGATTACAATTAACACAGATAGCATTAGAAAACTATATCGCTCTTGCTTTGTGATTCGTGTGTTCTTTCTTTGAATTTGTATATCTGCAAGCTGGAATATTTATAATTTGCGAATCAATTGAAAACTAATCACCTAAATTTATGTTAAATCTAAATTTAAAATGTTGGTCTCTTCGGTGACCATGAATTGCTGATATTATGTTTGTAGCTTTCTAACTCTTGTGTTCATAATCAGTTTACCATGGAAATGGCTGGGAATGATGTTGGGAACATCCCCAAAGGCTACTCTTTGGACATGTCCAAAGACTTTGTCCCAATGTGTATTTTCTCTGAGACAAATCAAGGTGAGGATTGTTAATGTTTTTCACATTCTAACAACAAAAAAAATTAATGGTTAATGTTTTATTTTCAACATTTATTAGGCACTATGATGTCTCTAACTGATTAAATTGTTGCCCATGGGTTCGGGGGGGCTTCACAGGTAAGGTGGCCATCGAAGGGAAAGTTGAACACAAATTTGACATGAAGCCTCACTCTCGGAATATGGACGAATACAGGAAAATGTGTCGGGAAAGAACAAATAAATCAATGATTAAGAACAGACAAATACAGGTACAGCAGATTCTGTGTGTGTTTGTGTGTCCTAGATAATCAATAATGATCATTGTAACAACTCTTTACCACTGATTCGTTGTTGTTAACTAGATAATCGATAATGATCATGGTGTACACATGAGGTCAATGCCTGGAATGTTGGGTTTGATTGCATCCAGCTCTAAGGTACTTCATTAATTTTTGTAAACTACGGAGTAATTTTTATGAATTTCTTGTTTTTATGTTTTCTTGAGCCGAGAGTCTTTGAGAAACAACCTTTCTACCATTATTGGTATGAATAAGGTATGTGTACACTTGCCCTCTCCAGATCTCACTCGTGGGACCTTACTAGGTTGTTGCTATTGTTGTTCTAATTTTGGTTTATAAACTGGATGTGTTTTCTGTCATATGGTATGTTTGATTTGGAATGTTGGAGACTTCTAGATGCTTTTCCTATGTAGCATGGTTGCACGTATTCTTCAAAGGGGTGTAGTATCCACGTGTCATTTACGTGCGTATATCGGAAAACATAACCCTTTGTTGATGTTTACATATTTGATAGATAGTTTCAAATTTTTAAATATATACATTTGGAAAACACTTTAAGATTAAGCCAAGCGGTAGTTAATATAAATATCAAAGTCACTCATATTTCTTTCTGGTATCTGTGTGCAGGAGAAGAAGAAAGCAGCTCCAGTTAAGGGACCTGAAGTGAAAAGAACTCGACGGGATCGTGGTGAACTGGAGGATATCATGTTTAAACTTTTTGAAAGACAACCTAATTGGACGTTGAAGCAACTTGTCCAAGAAACAGATCAGCCCGCGGTAAGTAGTTTTTTTTTCTCAAAAGAAATTTTCCCACTTTTTGGTTCCATGATTATTAGGTCATTCCCACGCTTGATCCCCGAGTCTCTTTTGATTCTCCTTTTATAAGTTTGGATTTCTTTCCACTTTTGGTGACATCACTCATCCAAGTGACCATAGAGGACCAAACGTGCCAAGAAATCCATAGCTCTTGAGTTTTCAAGAAACTCTCCTTTAAACCACCGTCGAACCACGGGTCGTGCTACAGTCACACACAAATGATACCAAGCTCGACACCGCTAGTGTCTCATCTTTGATGGTTTCAAAAACTGTGTATCCCTGGGGTTAAAGTAGCATTTTCCTTAAATCATTGCTACTAATTGTTTCTGAAATGTGTGGGGTATTCTGCAGCAATTTTTGAAGGAAATATTAAATGAGCTGTCTGTGTACAATAAGAGGGGGGCAAACCAAGGCACATATGAGCTGAAGCCTGAGTACAAGAAATCTGCAGAGGATACTACCAGTGCAGACTAGGGGTTGTCTTCTTTCCCACACTGTATTACTAGACTGTGTTATGTAAAGTTTTGTGAACTTTTAATCTTGATTTTCTGGAATTACTGGTAATGCTTCTATAACTTTTAATTTTTATTACATGATGAATTTACTATTATTAATTCTGAAAAGTACAGTCCATCAGGCATGTGATTGGCTGACATGATGAAGAATTGAATGTGTGTGTGTGTGAGTTAACTCTGAAGAGCTTTTTTTTTTTGGAGCTTATAGCTTACTATACGCTCTTAGTAAGTTTAAGCTCTTTTTGGCACATCAATAAGAACTCGAGATGATCTTTGGTTTTGGCTTAATAAAAGAAACTACTGTAGCAAATAAGCTAGTTATTACTCCCTCCGTTGACTTTACTGTCCATTATGAAAATATATTTGTTCATGAATGTTATGGAGTACTATTTTCGTTCTTGAGTATTTGTCTGGCTTGATTTTTTCAGTTAGTTATTTTCATCTTTTGACCTATAATTAAAAATAAATATATACTCCGTATGATATATTAATTAGATAAAATAATATTTTAGAAAATATTTTATTACAGAAATTTAATAAAATTATTTTTGTACTAATATCTATTACTCTTTTCGTCCCAAATTAATACGGAGTAGTACTTATAGTTTATAAGACTGTTCATCCAAATGTATTAGGATTCGTTTTATATACAGAATTGAAATTGAATTCAAATTCAAATTGAAATTCTAAAGACATGAATTTGATGGAATTGAATTCTAATACGATCCCAAATTCTTTATTTAGTTCTGTATCAAGCATAATTAAAGAATTGATATAGAATCGTATTATTGATAACATAAATTTATATTTAGAATTCATATGAGATTATATTATGATTGCAAATCATTTAATCGAGGAAATCAATTTTGATCGAGGAGGGGGATTAGAGAAAAAACACAGATCGGAAAAGACAGAGCAGACACTGAGCCGATCTAGGGTTCCGACCCTAGATCCGGAAACGGTGACTGGAGCGGTGTCCGGCGATGGCAAGGTCCGGCGTTTCAGAGAGTGTTCCCAACACATAGGCCATCAACGTGTTCCAATTTCACGTCAATCAGAGTTACGGATCTTCTATTATTGAAGTTACAATCTACACATTGTCTCTGATTTTTTGCAAAAAACACAGCTCTGATTTTCTCAATGGTTGAAGTACCAAATATGACTTTGCAAGGAGTTTAAGAAAAGTAAAATTGTGTGGTTGAAAGTGATACGGATAAGAGAGAGAAAAGGTGTGACCTAAAAAGTTTTCCAAAAATGTAAAGAGGGAGATTAATTTGGGACAACCTTAAAACGAAATAAGGATGATTAACTTCGGGCAGTAGAAGTATCATTTTTTTTAATTATAGGTCAAAGTTTTTCAATTTTGACTATAACAAATTAAAAGTGAACAAATTGTTAGGGCCAAACTTACTACGTAATAATTATAAAATAGGGGCATTACTGGTACTTCAAGAAAAAAGATAATGCCTTCTTAATAAGCATGATTTATAGTTAAGAGACAAATAATAAAAAATGGATAGACTAGTTCATGTTCATCCATCACAATTTAATGAATTTATTTTACTCCCACCCACCCATGAAAAGCTCCACATTTCTCTCTTCATTTGTCTAAAAAAGATTCTATTTTCTACTTTTGAAATAACTTTGTGCCACTAATATATTTTCTCTTCTGTATTACTTTTAAATGTTCTGAAAAACTTGAACGGATGTCGACCCAAACAAGGGAATGGTTCAAGGTCAAACCGGCCGACTTGGTGGCCGACGACCCTTTCAACAATAATTAAAATTAAAATATTTTATATTATATTATGACAAAATGTTTCCGTAGTCCTAAGGTCCACACTCATTTCATGGACCTTAGTATATAAACATCAGGGATCAATTGAGCTTTTTGAAAAACTAAAATATTCACATGTCAGTCCACTAAAAGTGTGAGAAAGTCCACATTTCACATGCAATCCTTATGATCATGGGAGTAAATTGGGAAGGAAGGAGTATTATTAGATACTCTATTCGTTCGAAATTAAATTACATGTTTACTATTCACATGATCAAAAATTTTGTAGATCTTTTGATGCAGTTTTTAAATATGTAATTTTTTCCATATAAAATGATTTGAAAAATAACTTTATTCAAATATCGTAAACTGAATTAGATGATTTAAATTAGGATGGAGGAAGTATTTTTAGTTAATAAAAATATTTTGATTATTATTTTTTACTTCACCATCTAGTTTTAACATTGTTGTGCATACCAAAGCAATACTCATACTTTCAAAAAAATAAAGACAAAATAATGTTTCTTCTATTCCATATACATGTTAAAATTAATATCTAGTTGATTAAAATGGTTGAAGATAAAAAATAAACAATGCTAACTATTTTTTAACTTTGAACTGCTTTAAAAGTTCATAAAATAAATATATTATACTCTATCTGTCTTAATTTAAATTCTCTATATACAATTCACAAGTTCAAACTTTAATCACATTCTTGACCCATTTTTGCTACTCATTTGACAAAATAATTTAGTTTTGTCTCCTCGCATTTTGTACTAGAACTTTTTAATGTAGTTTTTAAATATATAAATTTTTTAAAAAAATATATACTGTTTTTAAATAAATTAAATTAAAAATAGCTTTAATCAAACCTTATAAATAACAAAATAGGACTCCTTTTAGGACGGAGTGAGTAAATATAATTCTTTTTTCACAAGCTTCTTTAGAAATGAAATGTGTGCTACACGAACGGAGTAGAAGTCATTTGAAACTTTGAAAGAATGTAAATTCAAAATAAGATGATAATTTTTCTTGGTAAAATAAAATAAGCGTTTAGCATTAAAAAAGAAGGTAACATACAAAGTCCTCAAAATATATCCCACAACACAAATGTTGTGACCAACCACATTTTTCAAAAAAAAAAAACGTAGTACAAAATTTTCAAAAACCATGACTACCACCAGCACATTTATGAATCCAAATGCCAATCACAAGGCTTATACACAAACTCAAAAAACAAGAGGATTTTTTTCTACTCCGTAATACATAAATTGCAAGAGTGCCGACGATTCCATGGGTGGGACCGACAAAGCGTTAGACGCGAGTTCTAGAAGAAGGCGGGACGTAAGCTCCAGGTGGCCTTGAGGCGGCAAAAGGCCTCCGGTCCCGATCATCGCGCTGCCACCTGTCATCTGGCCTGCTGCTGCGCCTCTCTTCTTGACGGCTTCCTCCACCCCATCTGTCTGGTTCTGGAGGAGCGGCTGCCGGGGTGGCAGCAGCACCACCTTCCGCCATCATCCGTTTGAACTTGGGCACATACTTGTTTGTAGCAGGCGGGGGTGCTGCAGCATTGGTGGTGGGTCCGGACTCGGTGGCTGCCGGCACAACAGAGGAGAGCTTCTTTCCCAAGAGCTCTTCTTTTCTCTTCCTCTCCTTTTCTTCAAGTTCCAGCTCTCTCTGTCTCTGTTTCTCTGCAATCTCATCCAGTTTGGCCTTGCGCTCTGCTTCTTCTTTCCGTCGCCTCTCCATTTCTGTCAAGTTTTCATATAGAAAACAAAAAACAAAATCATCAAAGATTCAATGAATTTGTGTATAACGGGTGATGGATGAGTCGAGTGACGGATGAAGAGTGGATGAATGGACGAGGGTTAATGCTACACGCCTCAACCCAATCCAAACCCGACCCATTGTCATTCCTAATATATGAATCATGATTTATGACATGGTACCTTCTAGTTTACGAGCTTCCTCCTCTTCACGCTGCCTCTTTAGGCGTTCCTCTTCAGTTTTCAAAAAGAATAACATCTTTCTCTTAGCCTCCCTTTCTTGTTTCCGTGACTGGATAAGTTGGCTGATCCGTTCCTCCCTTTCCCTTTTGATTCTATTCTGTTCATCTTCTCTACGACTCACAACTCTTGCTTCAAAGATTTTCTGAAACAAGAACAGGGCAAAAAGGTCAAACCCCCCACTAAAACAACAGCACATTAGAAACGAAGGAAGAGTAAAGATACAAACCTTGTTCTCCATCATGCGACCCAACCTCTTCTTCTCTAACAGATCACTTGCATGTCGTTCTTTGCTCATTTCAACCTCTTGCTGCAAAGAGGAACCACAAATTTATCAGGCTCGACAAATTATTTCAGATCATGTCTGAAATACAGAAAATGGTAGGGAAATGTGGATAATTATGGGGAAAGGAGACGGTATTGAAAAAATTGTTCAAACTTTCCTTATCTGGTCTCATAACTAAAGTCATTTTTTCCTTGGTGTCCTAAAACTAAAGTCACATTTCCAATTTTCCATTTTTGGTTTACCTAACACACTAAGGCCCCGTTTGGCATTAGCGTTAGAGATTAGTGTTAGCGTTTTGAAAAGGCTATCCGACGGTAGCCTTTAGCGTTAACGTTTTCATAATTGATTTACACATTTAAATTTTATCCAAAACGCTAACGCTAATCGAAAACGCTGTTCCCAAACAAGACCTAAATATACTACAATATCGCTACTTTTTCCAATCACTTTTTTCTACCCACCCCATTTCTTTATCCCACCCTCATTACCATTCCAAGGCAAGAATTGGAAAGTGGAATGTCTTTTACAAATTGCCTTAATACGGAGTAGGTGTGAAGTCGACTAATGACCTTATAGGATGGAGGGAGGACTAAACATGTATGTATGTAAAAAATGAGCTTGAACAAAACCCTAAAAGTGATTTATCGAGTCTAAACCAATTTTAAAAATTTCAGACTTTCACCACTTCCCTTTTGAATTTCCACTATATTTTACTCTTCCATTTTTTTTTGAGTTCCAAAATAACCCTATGTGTTCAGCAGTCCAGAAAAATATTGACTTGTTAAAATCAGTTCATTATAATGAAGACATACCTGCTGATTTCGTTCATGAAGAGCAGCCTCTTCAGCTAACCGTTGTTCAAATGCAGCTTGTATCAATGGTGCTGCCTCCTCTCTCTTAGCTCTCTCCAAATAATCCATAGTTTTGGCAAGCTTTTGAAGTTTCTTTTCCATCTCCTGTCTTTCCCTGAGTTGCTCGCTCCGAGCCAGTTCCATCACAGTCTGTTTAGTGATGTTTTCCTACATGCAACCAAAGAGAGTGAGCGGGTTTTTAGCAGTATTGTGAAGATGCTTAGGAAAACAAGAATCCAATTAGTATGATGCGATGCTACATACCCCCTCTAATAGTGGTTTTTTCCCTTTCTTCTTAGTACCAATTTGAGCAGCTTCCAGGAAAGCCTGAGCAGCTTCTAACTCTCTCTCCTTGATTTCCCTGAGAATTCTTTCATTCTTTCTCTGTTCAAACTCAGCAGCAAGCCTTCTCTGCTCAGCCTCTTCAGTTATCTTTTGTTGTTTTAGTCGTCTCAACTCTTCCTCGCGTTCCTTTTTTATATAACAAAAACATCAAATATCAATTTTTTATTATTGTTATATTAATACACAGGAAAATTTCTTGTCCGTATTTAAAAAAAGTATGAGAAACCTTTTCCAAGAGTAGCCTCTCTTGATCTTCCTTGCGCTTCTCGATTATAGATTTCCGGGCAAGAAGTCTCTTGTGTTCCTTCTCAACTATTTCTCCCAGGCCTGAAAACATCTCTCTGAATTTTGCAGCCTTCTCCACAGGAGGAGAAGGGTAGATCATTCCCCTTGCTTTCCTTAAAGAATCTGCCAAAGCAGATAGGTGATCTCGAAGGCCTTCCGACTCAATACTCTATTAACAAAAAAATGACATCATCACTCATCTTCATACAAAATAAAAATGCAAGGCATAAAGTTTAGTAAATACATGACCTTGATCCCTCAATAAATAAGCATCCAAATTTATTTAAGTTGGTAATCAAGATACATTAAATCAATTTGGTCCTTGCCAAAGAAATTTAGACTGGATCTCATTTTATGCATGTTCTGATCTATAAATAAAGTGGTTTTTTATGCTCAATGATTAATTTACATAGTTGATGGCAAGTTGTGTGAAATTGAATAGAAAAAATTATCACATTCATCTTGAAGCAAAGATGTTAGTTAATTGTCAAATTTAGTCCAATGAAAAGCTGAGGACCAAAGTTGTGATTACATAATTGAGGGACTAAATCATGCATTGCTAATATAATTATCCAGGTCCTAAAATAATATAATTATTTTGTGTGAGATAATTATATTGGAAACAGCCTCTCTACTTTCAAGTAGGGCCTAGCTCTGCGTACACACACCCTCCCAAGACACCCAATTGGGTTGTTGTTGTGTGAGATAAGTGTGAACCTGTTTGCCAAAGAATACAGCACCCTGCATATGATCAATTTTCATGGCCACAAAGTTGTGCTTAACAGCATCCACTGATATCTTCTCAACAATAGAGAAGTCAAAGAAAGGGATCATTTTAGACAAATGGTCAATCTGAATTGTATGATACACCTGAGACACCTGTAAAAAAAGAAGGAAATAAAGGGAAACAGGTAAAAAATTCATTCCTGAGAAACAACCTTAATATTCATCACAGTGAAAGGCATGTAAGTGTCATAGAAAAAAATGAGTACAAACCTGCTCCAGCAACCTCAAAGTAACATTTTTTTCCAAAGCAGGAACATACTGAGACAATTGCACCTCGGGGACAGAAGAAGCTGAGGATAGTTTACCCCCAAGCTTTGATAATTTGATCAACAAAGGCTGTGCTTTCAATGCCAGATCCAAAGGATTGGTCTCATTTTCAAGCAGGTAGTAAAGATCTTTCACTTCTTGTGAGACAAATGTCATTATACCTTTGGACGCCTACAGTAAAAAGATATCAGAAAGTATGAACTATGACAGAAAAAATAGATGATATTAACAGGAAGAGTATTTTCAAAATAAAAAACAAAAACATGTAGCAGCCTACCAATTCTGACAAAAGTGCAGATCGGGAGACCTGAAAAAATTATGATTTCATTAGCAAATGCATATAGAGGACATATATATGCTATTCGATTATAATCGAGTAATACACGCATAGGAATGAAACACAAAAACTAAAATTACCACTTCTCTGGTCTCAGTTTTTGGTTCAACATCAAATCCAATCAAATTGGCCACGCGCAAATTCCGCTCTTTCTCATTTTCAAGCTCCAAGTGAGACACCCCATGTGATTGGCCATAGGGTGGCACTGAAAGTGCCGCTAAGACAACAGACGATGCAATCAACTGCAAATCTTTCTGGCTGAAGTTTTTATTGAAACTTTTTTGGAGAGAAAAAAGTTTGAGCCATGCATAAGCATGATAGAGATGACTTGATGATATCCAAAAGATTTCGGTAAGCTTAGCATAGTAGACAGCCAACAGAGATGTTTTAGGGGTTTTCTTAACAATGCACATCAGTCCATAAATGTCTTCGACGGAACGAAAAGCTTCCTGCAAAATGGTAATGTGTACTGATTATAAAACAAAGTATTTCTGCATGGTTGTAAATAAGAATCCTTTTGTCGCTAGTTAACTATCAATTGATTCAAATCACATGTTCTAATACAAACAACAACAACAACCCAGGTGAATCCCACAACAGTAGGGTCTGGGGAGGATGTGTGTACGCAGACCTTACCCCTACTCGGAAGTAGGGAGGCTGTTTCCAAGAGACCCCCGGCTCCACCTGCACAAAAATATGGAAGGGAACACAGTATAATACAGATAAAGTACGAAGTACAAGCAATAGCAGAAGATTCCAAACAAAATACAACCCACTACAAAACAACTTCTACAACACCGAGCTCCTATCCAGCTACTCTAATCCTAGTTTTCCAACGGTTCCTATCTAGGGCCATATCCTCAGTCAGTTCGAGAAGTCCTAAATCCTGCCTAATCACCTCCTTCCAATTCTTCCTAGGTCTACCCCTACCCCTACTTCCCCCGATAACCGTAATCCTCTCGCATCTTCGTACAGGAGCGTCAGCATCTCGCCGTCTCACATGGCCAAACCATCTCAACCTTGCTTCCCGCAACTTATCTTCCACCGGTGCCATGCCTACCTGACGTCGGATAACTTCGTTCGAAATCCTATCCAACCTTGTCTTCCCACACATCCATCGTAACATCCGCATCTCCGCCACATGCAGACGACGCACATGAGTCTTCTTAACCGCCCAACCTTGTCTTCACATGTTCTAATAATTTTATAATAATGCATGAACTTTTTAGATCAATCACTACTTATCTTATCATTCACTTGATAAAATTTTAATGCACAATAACAATACATGGTAATATGAAGTATTAGTTGTGGCATTAGAAGGATGAAATTAATGCACAATAAAATAAATAGATGGAGAAATCAAGGGAAAAAAATCTCAAATTAAGTGGGCACCAGGAACTTAAATAGGAATAGGAGCATTAATTAACTACAGAGAGAGGTTATAGATGCAATATGATTGTGAACATTCCTTGCATAGGCATAAACAAATATTCCAAAAAAAATAACAACATACCTGCCATAAACCAAGTTCAGTGGCAACTTTTAGCTGCTCAAATCTTGTGTCAAGATACAACTGCAAACTTTCAGGGGCAGACAGATCAGGGCGGTCTCTCTGGTCTCTATATTTGTTTAGATTTGCAAGATGATTTCTTATGATTTCACATAGACGGCGAAACTCTGTTGTGCGTTTGTACTGCTTGCAAAACTGAAAGGCTCGGTGTGCTGTCATCTATAACCCACAGTTGAAGAAGACAATTAATACAAAAATACAAAGGATGATGCCATCAATACACTGATAGCCTGTTTAGAAAATAGGCAAATGGCTTGAATAGATGAATAAACTGAATTTCCTAATTTGTAGCTGCAATTGCTTAATTGGCTAAATTAAATTAGAAGTATCAAATATATTTCATAAAAAAAGTAAAAATTAAATATATCTACAAATGCAGAATTATTCATCATAAGCCCATTAACCAATTCAGAAGAACTTGATAGTGTTTGATAAAAAATCTTGCTGTTGAAAAAAGAGTTCACCCAACGGACTCCAAAAGGGCATGAGAAGTTTATCTTACCGCATACAACGCCTCAAGTTTGGAGTTGTTTCTCAATATTTCCAGCACAGTTCTGTATGTCTCCCATAAGAATTTAAACCAGGGGGTGACAAGTTCACGATCAGATCTGTCCTTTCCCTTCTCACCACTAACACAACTCAACATCAAATCTTCAGGCCTTTTATCTGCTTCCAAATCATCTACATCCAAAGCTTCATCCAGAGCTTGTGCCTGTGTTCGTGCAAGTTCAGCTCTCTCGGTAGCCAGGTGCAAAAGATGTTTTATCACTTCCTCCAAAGAGGCAATATTAACATGTTGGCAGATGATTCGATACTGAATTAGCCCATCCTTTGCATATCTTCCTCTTTTCATATCCACACACAACTCTACGTGTTTGAACATTATCCTCTCGTGTGACTTTTGCCAAGCCCTGTACCTCCTTGAGGTGATGAGATCATGAAGAAACTGCAGCGCTTCTTGCTTTTGCCCAACATTGATCAACTCTGAGCGAACACAAAAAAGCACGTTAATGAACTACTATGCCAAACCCTAATTAAAGTGTGTAAAAGTCTCAAATGTTGTTGATGATGATGATAACAATTAGAAAAGGTATCCAGTACCTTCTGCTCGCTTCAAAGCATTCTCTGGTTTGGTGAAATTAGCCATCTTGAAAAGTCAAGAAGGCAGATGAATCTGCACCTGGTTAAACAATAAGCTCCAGTAAGAAAATTTAAAAAGATTAGTTACATTAGGATTTGAAAGTGTATGTGTGTGTGTGTGTAAATTTTCATATCAAGACAATTGGCACCTAATGATGATACACAAGCAACATTTATAGTTTTAATACACACACAAAAAATTCAGCTTCTAAACATTAAGAAATACTCCATAACCATCAAGCAAGGTCAACACTGAGAATCATGATGAGTCTTGCATCAGTTCAAAAACTACATAAGCTAGTACTTGGTTTCCCAGCTAGAATATAGTTATAAACTATGGAGAGCACCAAGAATATACAATTATATGTGTACATGGAGTAACAATTTAGCTATATCTTATGTGTATAATAATGAATTTCCCTAGGACAACTTCCCACCACAACTGACTAAAATAACAGTAAAAATAAAAGTAGGCTCTACACAAAATAAGTGCCAGTGCTGATTTCTAAATCATCAGTCAAGTGTCATATAGTTTGTATAAGTGTTTAGTCTTTTGTTGAATCCAATAAAAAAAGTGTTCCTTTCAGATAATTATCACCACCACCACCCAAAGAGCATAGTGGCGATCAGTTCATGCTCTTACTCTACAAATAGACTTCAAGATGTTAACATTTTTCACACCCTCAACCCATACACACCAAAAAATTCCCTCTTTCATTTTCAATAACAGAAACTGTCAAAAAACTGAGTCTCCTTAAAGAAATTGATAATTAAAAAATCAGACTACGAGATCAAATTGATAATTATAAAAAAACAAATTACGAAAAAAACTAAAATAGCAATTAAAAATAACAACGCAAATACTAAATCTGAATACTTGAATTAACATCTGTAGAGTGGTGCTCCAACAAACATACAATTCTAATGAAAGATCTGCAGAATGGAGTTAGAGATTTGGAGTGTTGTTTTACCCTCGATCTAAGAAGCAATTGATGATAATAACACTTAAGAAAACCCTTCATGGGTGGATAATTAGGGGAAAATACATGATTTTTGCTTGAAAAACATTTGAAAAGGGTTGAAGAATGAAGATCTGAGACGAAGTACCTGTCGATGACGAAGAAGATTGAATTGCCGGAGCTGATGAGGAGAAGGAATTGTGGAGCGGACTGTTGATTGCAAGCTTTATATAGGGTTTAGTAAGAGTTTGGCTTTCTTTCTTTGTTTTTTTTTTAACTCCGTAAATTAAAGTTGGCCTTTTATGTTTGCAAATTCGACCCAAGCCATTAATGGCCCACGGACTCTGTCCTCAAATTGAATTCCTATTTTTTTTATCCGTTTCCAAATAAAAAAATTACTTTTCTTTCTTTTTTAACAAAAAAATATATGTGTAGTACTCCGTAATTTACAATTTTTTTAAAAAATAATTTTCTAACCACTTATTTTTAACATTTATGGAGGAGTTTGGTTTCAAAATCCATCATGAAGGGTGTTAGCAAAGATATGATCAGGTACCTGAATCGTTTTCAGTTTGGAGTTGGTGCGTCCGGTGGTTCATAGGCTATATTACATAGTGTTAATAGGGTTTTGAGTAAATGTCACATTGATGGGTCTCTCACCACTCTTTGGTGGAATTTACTAACGCGTTTAATCTGCTCGATAGACCAGCTTTACTTGTAAGGATAAAATGTGGTGTCTTTTTCTTTGTGGGTGGAATTCCTATATATGCAGCCATCAAGACTCTATCTTGGAGAGGAGCATATATGGTCCACCACGTGGGTCCAGCGGAAAGACCCTTTGTGATCACTCCTTTCCGATAATGTTTTTGCACTCATTTGTGCATCATATTAGAGACGATTACAAGCTTCTCATTCGTGCCTGGCATTTTGATGACGAGACCGCCATTGGAGATGCAGTGGAGGTGGCTAGAGTGTCGGACATCATTAGGATGACCATTCATCCTTGGGACTTAAGCTGAATGTTAAGAAATTTGAGTTATTTTAACTTTTGTATGATGGTAGAAAGTTTTAACCATGGTTGTTTCTTGTAAACATTGGGAGGCTAATTTGGGGATGAAGCTTCGTAATGGGGTCATTAGTAGAGATTCGGGGTTTATTATTGTCTTGACATTTGACAAAGAAGATAGATATCAATGATGTTGATATGATGCATCTTCTTCCCAAATTGTGAGATATGCATAGTGAGTTATTTCTGCTTCGCTCTTCTATGGGTATAGCCAACTTTTCCTTTAGCTTGAAGACGTGTCAACCCGTGCACATGACGTGTAACACCATGGCCCCCACCTTAGCCTTAAGTCTTTCCCGCACACTTTGTCCTCACTCATGCACGCCCAAAGAATTTCTCAAGGGGTCACCCATCATAAAATTGATCCAAGTCAAGTACGCTTAACTTTGGAGTTTCTAAGTAATGAGCTCTCGAAAAGAAGATGCACATTGTTGGTATGAGTAGTACTATCAATCCTTTTGAACTCTTCTCATTCTCATCTTAGTGCAGGGTATCACAAGATGGATGTTTCTTCTCAATGAAGAATATATGACTCATGAAGAAATCATCCAACAAGGATTGTTCTGCAGAATGAGGATAATTTATTCAAGACGAAAATTTTTAAAAAATGACGTTCAAGATGTAGTTCGAAAAGGATAACTTTCATTTTATTCATTTCAGTTCGGAGAAGATTCGAAAAGAATGGTGTTCCTTTACTCAATTAATTATTCGATGGATTCAAAAAGAGTGGTGTCTCCGTCAAAGAAGAAAAAGATTTATTTGTTGAAATATTCAGATGACACTTGAACAAAGATCGTTTGCTTATGTATTGTCTAAGATGGGCACACATAATCCCCGCGCTCTAGCTTGAGGGAAGGCGTTACGAGAGATATATGCAGAAAAGGAAACTGAATCCCTTTGTAATTCGGTTGGTGACTTTCCTAATTTGATATAATTATTGTTGTAGTAGGAATTAAATTATGGTAAGAATAGAAATTTACATATTTGTTTTATATAAAGAGGTTGGATCTTCTTCAACACAATTCAATATACAGAATATCTTCTCTCATATCATTTTGTATATAAATTTAGTTTTAATCGACGGACAAAAAATAGAGTCTGCACCTGTTACATGTTAACATAATTTTCTCAAAAACACAAATTTTAGGAATGAAACCCCGATATCTCTCAATTCAAAGAAAAATAATACTTGAGAAACCTCACAGATATTTATGTCTATACACGTACAGACTTTAAATGTATGTGTGCTTATTTATACCAATGCACAATTAGGTATACACAGATACTTATGTCTTAAATGTCTCTTTGCTTATTTATGTCTAGGTGTACACTTGGTGTAAGGGTTTGTCTAGCACTTCCTCTTAAAGAATGAGAAAAAAGGCATAATGAGTATTTCAAGAATCAGCAAAAGGCATATTCTAATATTCCGGTTGAAGCTCGTGAGTTGGCTATGCTCATACCGCCCATTTCCGTTGTTCCCAGAAGTTATAATAAGAACTCCTCTCACTCACTCCACCCAAACTTTCGCAGTGGACATTCCTTTGTACCTTTCCCAAACGCTTTCTTGATTTTGTTCTATTCTTGAAAAATTAGTACTCGTATTATTATTATTATTTGTAAATAAAAAAGGTGGGTTCTCTTTCTCTCTATGGGAATTTGAGGCTCCGGAGGTCAAAAACAATTTTTGCAGAAAGAAAGAAGAATGGGGTTGAAGATTGGATTGTCGTGCTTAATCTTGGGATTGGGTTTGATCATCTTGAATCTCACCGGGTTGTGTGAGGCAGGGGAGACCAGTAGCTATACGAGGAACAGTAATGTGTCCGATATTTGTGATATGCCATTGGATAGTGATGTCTTTTCAGTCCCTCCCGGATACAATGCGCCCCAGCAGGTTATCTCCTTCCCATGCTTTGCCATACTTAGTTCCTCATTAAAGATTTCATTTTTTGTTGTGATTTTATCAAAGGTCGACTGGCATGTTCTTTCTTAATCAGATTAGGTGTTACTGTTTTGTTTGCCTTTTCTCTGAATTAAATAATCTGTTTGCTAGTGGATTCTTTGTTCTTGGACATCAATTTGGATGAAGCCTATGTTGCTATGTTGGGGGTGGGCTGGGGTGGGTGTGGGGAGAAGAAAGTGAGAAATAGGTTTGAGGATTTGAGATCGAAGGGAAGCCGGTCAATCCTCTTGCCCTTCCGGTGGGTGGGTCCCACAACTTGTGCGCGATGGGGCGTGTTGATCTCATGAAACTCAGAGGTTGGGGATAGTAGGATCAACTTGGTTGGTCCCATCTATTCACAAGAATTTGCTTTCATTTCGATAATGTTAGAATATATTGTATACACCTCTTGGATATGTTCACGAAATTAGTCTAGCCTTGCCCGACCCATGAGCTTAGCCGGACATCTCATATGTGTATTGTATGTTCACCACATTACTTATCATCTGAATATACCAATTCTTCATGCTCTACTTAAAAAGATTGTTTTTTTAATGGAAACATTGAGCTTGGGATTTTGTGTTCCTTGACGGATGTGGTGTTTGAAGGTACATATAACACAAGGGGATTATGAAGGCAGGGGAGTGATCATCTCTTGGATCACACCTCATGAACCCGGCTCGAACACAGTCACTTATTGGGCTCCTGAGAACAGCAATGTCAAGAGCCACACTGATGGAGTCGTTGTGACATACACGTTTGGTAATTACACATCTGGCCATATCCATCACTGCACCATCAAGAATTTAGAGGTTTGCACCCTTTTTGTCCCCCCATACATTGTTTAGATTTTGTGCTAATCAATAGTAGGAGTACTGTCTGCTTACGCACACCTTCCCCAGACCCTAATTTTTTTGGAATTTTACTGGGGTTGTTGTTGTAATAGTGTAGTATTTCTCAAAAGAAAATGTTAATCTCCCTCTTGTATATTTCTGCAGTATGATACAAAATACTATTATGAAATTGCGGGGGGGCTGGGTGATGATGCTACGACCCGGCAGTTTTGGTTTGTTACTCCTCCTAAACCAGGACCCGATGTTCCATATACATTTGGTTTAATAGGTATTATTATTATTATTGTTAATATTGTATTCTTTTGCATCAATTCTGCCTCCAGATCCTATTTTTTGTGGGATTTTACTGGGTTTGTTGTTGCTGTATCTATTTGGATTGATGAACTGAAGTGATGGTGATGGAACAGGGGATCTTGGTCAGACCCATGATTCTAACAACACGTTAACGCATTACCAATTCAACCCAGTGAAAGGACAGTCGTTGCTATTCATAGGAGACCTGTCCTACGCAGATAGGTATCCAGATCATGATAACAATAGGTGGGATACATGGGGAAGGTTTATAGAGAGGAGTGCCGCTTATCAACCGTGGATTTGGACGGTTGGAAATCATGAGATCGACTCTGTCCCTCACATTGTATGTATCCCCTTTTCTTCTTTTTAACATTCATGTTTAGTGTAAAACACACTTAGATGTAGTTTGGTTAGACAATATAATCAAATGAGTAAACATGTATTTTCTTCCAGTCCACCAAACATGGCCTTAGAATAGTAATGACTACTCCTAACCTCTTTCTATTTTCAGGGTGAAACTGTACCATTCAAACCATACACGCATCGGTTTTTCGTGCCATTTGAAGCATCAGGGAGCACTTCTCCATTATGGTACTCTATAAAAAGAGCTTCAGCGCATATCATTGTCATGTCTTCTTACTCGGCTTTTGGTAAGAATTCATTTATAGCACACTAACACAAATGTTTCTTGTTAAAGAATTACGCTAGGTAATCTATTGAATTCAATCTTTGGGTCTCTGACGTGAATCTTACATATTTTGGTTTGGGACAGGTGTCTACACGCCGCAGTGGAAATGGGTGGAAGGCGAACTGCCGAAAGTGAACAGAAGTGAGACGCCGTGGCTGATTGTGCTCATGCATTGCCCGATGTACAGTAGTAATGCACACCACTACATGGAAGGGGAAGCAATGCGAGTGCTATACGAACCATGGTTTGTGGAGTACAAAGTTGATGTTGTCTTTGCCGGTCATGTTCACTCTTATGAACGATCCGTAAGTATATACATTAGCTTCCTAATGATCATTCAAGTCCAATAAGATTATACTACATTCTTTATGTTTTTACAAGGGTAAGACTGTATATTTTGACAGCTAGACCCCAACGGAGTTGGGATTTCATTGGGTTGCTGTTGTTGTTAATGCCCCGTTTGGGTTCTCGCTTATTCGTCTTTATCGGTTATATTTTTTTTAATAACCAAATGTTTGTCTTATTCATAGGAACGTGTGTCGAATATTGCGTACAACATTGTGAACGGCTTGTGCACTCCTGTAAAAGACGGATCTGCCCCTGTCTATATAACCATAGGAGATGGAGGGAACTCGGAAGGATTAGCTATCGAGTATGTACTTTTATTATGATATACTACTTCATATATGTGTGACTCTACTTCATAGCAGGGGTAAGGGCGGCATACACTAGCCTCTAGGGCCCCACTTGCGGGACCTTTCTAAGTTGTTGTTGTATACTTGTATGTATAGGATGACAGAGCCGCAGCCAAGTTACTCGGCGTATAGGGAGGCGAGCTTTGGGCATGGGATGTTGAATATCAAGAACAGGACGCATGCCCATTTCGGTTGGCATAGGAATCAAGATGGGTTCGCCGTGGAAGGTGACTCGTTATGGTTCATTAACAGGTATTGGAAGTCGTCGGTCAAGGGCGCCGGGCGAGCCACCATATGATGGATGGATGTATCTGTGGTGTGGAGGAAGAAGAGCTGCATCTGATTGTATTTTTTAGTTTGTGTACCATTAGTGTTACTTGCCTTCTTACTCCAAAAGACTTGAGAATGCACAAATAATATCATGGTTGCTCTCAAATGGCTGGGCTTCATTTGGAAATAACTAGCGTTTTAAACAACATTTTAATAGTGTAAATTAATTTTAAAAATGCTAATGCCATTAATCCCTATTAGATAGTATTTTAGAAATGCTAAAGCTAAAAAGTTGTAGCTCCATGAGGTAGAAATGTTAGAATACTGAAATGATTTTTTTGAAAGTTACTTTTAGATGTTTTTTAGTCGAAGAACACCTTAAAAAAGCTTATTGAACAAACTTTTACAAGAAAAGAAGCTCATTAACGTGACTTGGGTAGTTATTTTCAACTTAATCCCTTCGTCTCATAAAAAACCACTTTCTTTTTTCATCCGTTTGAAAATAAATATTTTCATTTTCACTTTTTAAAAGAGGACTCACTTTTTAGAAAAGAATACGGTCTAAAATATTTTTCTTTAAAATAAATATTAATCACTCATTGTTCATTATTCAACATCTTTTTTACATCTTTACAAAAGGAGGCAGTGTTTTCTTTCTAGTTCATATCACATGGCAATGAAATACTCCACAGTTCACTTTAGCACTTCTTGACATATCCTACAAGAACACTAATACAAGTACTTGTACCATTAGAGTATCCACAAATCAACAATTCATGGATATACTCCGTATAATAACATCAAATGAATTTAATATCGAAGAATGAATTTAATATAGAACAAATAATGTATCACCGTGTCCTCAGGGGAGAAGAGAAGAATGCACACAAAATTGGCAACGAAAATTTGAAGTAACAGTGTATAAATACTGCACGGCGAGAGAGTTTTTGTTTTTGTTTCTATGAAGTTAGGGGCGAGCAGCAAGGGGCAGACGCTCCCAATTCCATTCAAGTAGCAGTGCTTGAATTAAAACATGAAAGAAAGGACTTATAAGCTCTTCTTCTTGATGAAGTCCTTGAAGGAAAACGCTTGGCTGCCCTCCTACATACAAATTGGCAAAAAAAACAACTCCTCAACATACAACAATAAATTCAGCAAAATCCCACAATAGTAACAAACCAACACTTTACATCATATGTTAATTTATTTTTAAAAAATCACTAATAACCTTGCTAGCCGGATCTTCGCTTAAGCATTGTCTCACCATGGTTGTCTGCTGTATTAACCTTTCCAACACTGAATATCTGGGCTGGTTTTCATGTGCTACAGAATTACCACGACATATGACAATATATAAATAATGAAGTAAGTTCTTCACGAGGAAACTTTTTAAAATATAAATGACCGATAATAACATGACAATAGAAAGAGAAGTCCAACCAAGGATGGCCCCATTCAAACTGTCTGCAACATGTTGTCGATGTTCCAAGCTAAGTAGGTGAAACATGGGCGACTTTTCTGGTTCATCGAAGGCGAGCAGAGATAAAAAGTCCTGCAGGTAACACATGCATTCTCGGCTTTTGAAGAAAAAAAATGATAGACGGGGGACATTCTTAATGTAGCTATTATTTCTGGAGAGTAAATTATACATTACGTACCTCAAGCTTTTGAAGAAAACTTTGGGCCTTCATGAAAGGGGCTAGCTTTGCCTGAGCAAATTTAAGAGCTTCATTGCTGCAAATTTAATCAGTAAAGTAAAACAGAGAGAAAAAAGTCTCTCACTCTCCCTCACTGAAAAAAAAAGAAAGCAGAATCATTCGTCCTGCTGTTGCTCACCTTTTTCTTGAGGATACTAATTCAACAAAATGAAGGCCTAGCAGATCAAAATGCAGATCCATGTTCTTCTCCAGTATGTCTGGTGCTAGTTGTTCTGTTTGCTCAATTGCCTTCAGAACTTTACCCTCTATTATGAAATTACATATTCCTGAATATATTTATTTGTGGGATAAGAGTGATGCATCAAAAAGAGTTTATTTATGGAATTCATTCCACACGTGAGTAGAATTGGAAGTGAAAGCAAACATTCCGTGGTAAATAGTGCCATGAACAATGTAAGCTGTTTAACGTGGGAAGGAATACAATGAGGAATGTACAATATTATTTCATTGCACCGGTGGGGCAGTAAATCAGGTATGTGCCAAAATGGTTATATGAGAGATCACCTACTTTTTCTTTTCTCCATATCATCAAGACAATAACCTGCAGGTTTCTTCATTCCAGTGCTGGCAATAAATGACTCCGCTGTGTCTTTGAAGCTATTGTGCACAAGGTATGATAATATAATGTTGTGCACATCACTATTACTCATTTCCTATTGAAGCATTAGCAGTTCAATCAGTTGATGCAATGGGAAAAAAGTCAAATCAGATGAAGAAACATTATGCCGAAAGCAACTTCATGTAGTCATTTACATCAGAACCATCGTTATTGCTTGATGTGATTACTATGAAAAGAACTTTCATCTTATAATTAACTACTCTCCTATCAAGACCCACGAGCTTACCCCTCATTGGCATTCATCCCCTAAGTAGGGGCACTAAATTTGTTAAAAGTGACGATCCTCTACCAATCTAACATAGCAAACTATGTCACACTTCTGTAAGGACGCTACTTAACCCTTGATAATGAGCGAAGAAATATTTCCCCGTTCTTTTTCTGGAACACTAAATTTTTTAAATAGCCTCTCTACTGCCAAGCACAGGTAAGGTCTGCGCGCACACACCCTCCCCAGATCCTACTTTTTCTGGAATTTTATTGGGGTTGTTGTATATTTGCATTAGTATCTAGTCATGATGGCAATCATATTGCTTTTTTATTAACAAGTTCATGAGAAGAAGATGCAGACAGAGATTCCAAAAGCATCTAAATTAATGCAGTGCTCCATCAAAACAGTTACTTTAACTACCATAATGATCAATTAACAGGAATAACAGCATCTCTGCATCAAAAGAAATTCTACCACTCAATTTCAGAGGCATAATAAATACTTCCATGTTAAATTATACACTAGGAGGCAGCAGATTTCATTCATTAACTTCAAACACTGGTTCTTATTGCAGAATTTCATTTTCAATAGCAATAATCAATGAAATCCCGCAAAAACAAAACCAAAAAACAAGATAGAAGAAGGGGAATCGAGACAAATATCATCAACCGGAGTACCAGACAATAATGGAAGCAAATCATCAAACAAAAACCAGGAAAAAGTGCATACAGTGTCTTCGTCTTGTGGGGGATCCAGGTCCATCATCATCACCACCACAAGCTTGTTTGTGCGGAACTTCCCTTAATGATTCTGCTAACAGATACTCGGCTAGGTCGCGGTGTGAATATTCCAAATTGAGAGAGGGCGAATACAGTGAAGCAGTGAAGATTCGATCCCAATGTTCTTCGAAGTGGAGACTATCAATTGTTCCCCAAAGAAGAAGAAGAGATTTATAGCTAATTTAGGGTTTGCGGGATAAGGTTTTGGATCAAAGCCGGATCATTTCATCTGCTCTGTTGATTCTTCTCGCTAAGAAAAGGTTTGAGTTTTATGGCTGTCCCCGTTTATGTCCTGCACACAAATGGAAACAATAAAATAAAATAAAAAAGAAATTAAAATAGAAATGTGTAAATTATATCGACAAAGTTCATGCTTGATTCTAGTGTCAAACATATCAAACTGGCTCATTTGGAAGGAAAATGGTAGGGTGGCCGACAAATACAGACAATAATTGTTTGTGTCGCACAGACATAATTATCGTCTGTACGAAGCATGGGTGGTCTCATGGCACCCAATTTGGAATTCACTCATTTGGTATTTAGGACCGAGAAAAGATTTGAAACCTCTGCCCACTTACAGTACAAAAAATGGGTTGGTTATGGCAGTTTCTATACCTGGGGTTGTTAATCCATTTCCAGGCACCCCGGTGCACATCGTCGTCGTCTTCGTCCTCATCATCATCTTCTACTTCGTCAATCTCCGATCTCTTCGAGGACTGGTGCCGGCAACACGGCGGTAAAACATACTCCTCCGATCAAGAGAGGAGGCGCCGGCTGAAGGTGTTCGAGGACAACTACGCCTACGTCTCGCGGCACAATGGCGCCGGTAATTCCAGCTACACCCTCGCCCTCAACGCCTTCGCAGATCTCACTCACCACGAGTTCAAAGCCGCTTACTTGGGCCTCTCGGCCTCCGGGAACGATGGGCTGATCAGATTGAACCGTGGTGGGCCGGTCTTGGATTCTTGGCCCAGTTCCGGAGATTATCCTGTTCCAGCTTCGTTGGATTGGAGGGACAAAGGAGCTGTCACTCAGGTTAAAGATCAAGGCAGTTGTGGTATATATTATAAACTCCATCTTTATGTACTCCCGTTGTCCAGAATTAAGTGTAATGTTTGTTCTTCATTTAGCTATATTTTATAGCTAAATGGGTAGGTGTAGACCTAGGAAGAGTAAAAATGAGTTGATTACAGAAGACTTGTAACTAAAGTCTTCAGGATATGACCTTAAACAAGAACATTTTGAGATTTTGGATTAGAGTAGTTGGATTAACGTATGTGTTCGGTTATGGAGCCTGAGTAATATTTGATGTATTGTTTTACTATACGGAGTAGTATTGTTCACATGCCCGGACCCAAATTTTAGGTTGTATGTTTTGTTCTTCATTTAGCTATATTTTATACCCTTTAGTTACATACTCTGAGTTATTAAGTCTTACCACCGTGGAGTTTAACCATGGGGTGTTACCACAGTTTATTCGTCTCTCTCCTAAGATTTCATTTTTTTCCTTTTCTTGTTCGTCATCTAGATTGTGAATGAGAGTATTTTTTATCCCAACAATGTGGGCCTCAGACCCTTCGTTTTTAGTATATACTGGGGTGTTTTTATGCCTTGGTCTCTAGCGGGTGGCAGGGTGCATGTGTGTTTTTGTGCTTAGTGTCTAAATTCTAGAGTCGGTTTGCGTGCTTCATTTGTCTTTGTGTGTACTTTGTTTATGTTGATGTGGACAATGTCGTTTCTTTCTTTGTCCTACTTTTAATTTTATGCCGGAGGTCTTTTTAGAAACAGCCTCTCTACTTCCTAGTAGAGGTAAGGCATACACACACTCCCCGAATCCCACATTTTGTGGGATTTTATTGGACTGTTGTTGTTATGTTGAAATTGAAGGAGTATACATATTGAGTCAAGACATACTCATAGGTTATTTATCGTTATAAAGTTCTCTTGTTATGCATGCCATAGTAATCAATTGGTTTTTATTTTCATTTTAAACGATAGGGGCATGTTGGTCATTCTCAGCCACAGGTGCAATAGAGGGTATAAACCAGATTGTGACTGGTTCTCTGGTCAGCCTATCCGAACAAGAGCTTATTGACTGCGACAAATCTTACAACAGTGGTTGTGATGGTGGACTTATGGATTATGCATACAAGTTTGTCTTAAAAAACAATGGCATTGACACTGAAGAGGATTACCCCTATCAAGGAACACAAAACACTTGCAACCAAGCTAAGGTATGCATGAGATGGCTTTATAAGGATAATCATTAACAACCTATGTCGTAATCAAAAGCCATTTAGTTGATTGTACTGCCATTTGTTGGGGTGCAGTTAAATAAATACTAGTAAGAAAGTTAACGTGGTTCCCCCAAATATTATTTAGACTACGACCTAAAACCAATACTTCTATTGTTTTTTCTTCATTATTACAAATAGTAGATAATATTGCAAATAGCAGGTTCTCAAAGATATATAATCGTTCTCGATGAATTTTATATTGTTGCAGTTGAAAAGACCTATTGTTAGCATTGATGGATATAAAGATGTGCCCTCCAATAATGAGAAGCAGCTACTAAAAGCAGTGGCCTCTCAGCCTGTGAGTGTTGGTATTTGTGGGAGTGAGAGAGCTTTTCAGCTTTATTCAAAGGTTTGTTTCACCTGTTTCTTCTGTTTTCAGTTTTCTTTCTTAAGAAAACCTTAACACTATGTTTAGTTCAAGGAATTTGGATGGAAAAGAAAAGAAAATAGTTTTCTCTCATTTTCCTCACCAAAATGGTAGGAATTTGGTTTTCCCTCCTCTTAGTACATATTGCCTTCTCATTTTCTTTTCCTTCCACTTTTTCTTTTTTTCCTCTCTAACCAAACAAGAAAAACTGTTTTCCACTTCATTTTCTTTTCTTTTCCCTTTCAAATTCCTTGAACCAAACATCGTGTAAAGAAAATTCTGTCAAAGGATTGATCAATGCTCATCAATCTAACAAATATAAAGATATAGACTAAAACCACTGTGTTAATAAAAATGGTCATGTTCCACAGGGCATATTCGATGGGCCATGCTCGACGAATTTAGACCATGCAGTATTGATTGTGGGGTACGGTTCAGAGAATGGCGACGATTATTGGATCATAAAGAATTCTTGGGGGACGAGTTGGGGGATGAAGGGTTACATGCACATGCAGCGTAACACGGGCAGCCCAGAAGGGATGTGTGGGGTCAACATGCTCGCGTCTTATCCCACCAAGACAACCCCTAACCCGCCCGGCCCTCCTCCAGGCCCCACCAGGTGCAGCGTCTTCGCTTACTGTGGCAGCGGCGAGACCTGTTGCTGTTTTTGGAAGGTGTTCGGGATTTGCCTTTCGTGGAAGTGCTGTGGCGCATCAGCCGAATCTGCTTCTTCTGCAGTTTGCTGCAAAGATGGCAAGCACTGTTGCCCTGGGGATTACCCTATATGTGATACAACTAACAACCTCTATCTCAAGGTTGGCTCCTAAACAACCATTCTCCTTGTTATATATGTGTCCCAACTTTTATTTTTTTTAAACCTTGGCTGTCCCAAAAAAACTTTTCTTCCCTCCAATTTTATGCCATGCCATAGCCCTAAATGGTCCACTCTGTTCTCTATTCCAAAAAAAAAAAAAAAAACTTTTCCACTTACTTTTTTACCTCCTTGAGTAGTACACATTTCATTAAAAGGGTATTTTGTTTTACAGAAAAATGGAAATGGGACACTTGTAGCACTGCAAGATGAGAAGGATGGATCTTACTACCCAAGTTAATAGAGAAATGTGTGTACCAGCTTATTGAAGTTATCAAGTTTTGTAGCAATTATTTGTCTGTAAGAAAAGTATGAAGCACATGATGATGGCATAAGAGCAGCTCTCTTAGTCCAAGATGGAGGAAGAGGAGGGGGCTTGAAATTTACTCATATACTGTATACTATATTAAACGATCTACAAAACTAGAGTAGATATGATTATATTTTATATCAAATGTGTGTCAAAATAAGCAAACAAAGTAAATACATTTCAATCTTGTCAATACTGAACAAGAAGATTTATAGACGGAAGGAGTATGATTTGGAACAACATCCCAATCGTCAGTTTTGTATCTCTAACTCATTGCTCCATGTACGGATTTGAAATCGACTAACACATTTTTTTGAGCATTTATTTTATTACAATTATAGTATTTATTCATACATACTTTTTCAATATATTACTTCCTCCGTTCCACAAAAAAGTTCCCATTTTGACCATAAATTGGTCAAACTGTTGCACACTTTGACCCTAAATTAAATATAATCTAAATAAAAAAATGCTAAAAAAATTTGAGATATCAAAACTAGATCCTAAGATGAATCCAATTATATAAAATTTATTTTATAATTCAATATATCTTTCTCACAATTTGTAGTCAAAGCGTATAAATATTTGACTAAATACTATTCAAAATGAGAATTTTTTTGTGGGACGGAGGGAGTATAAAACTGAAAGTTATCCCCTCTATTGTATCATTTGTATGGATTGAACCCATGACCTTTCAGTGTTAGAGATTAGTGTTAGCGTATTGAAAAAGCTATCCAACGATAGCCTCTAGCATTAGCGTTTTCATAATTAATCAACACCATTAAAATTTTATCTTAAACGCCAACACTAATCAAAGGCCAATGTCTTTGAAAAATGGGAAAACTATGCTTAATTGGGGTCTTGAGTAAACAGTAAATTTCTAGAAGGTCCATATCGGAGTTTGGGCCGACAGAATCGGAAAAAGAAACGGGGGCTTTAAATTGACGCCCCGACTGACATAAGGGAAACGCGGGATGGCATTTTCCGTAATAAAGACCCAAACGAGTCACATTTCTGTAATTAGACATTCATCTTGGTTCCCTATATATACGGGGCGGCATAATATTCGAAATCCTCACGACTGGGAAGCTCAAATTAGCAAGCAATCTTTGGATTCTTTGCAACTTTACATACAAGCTTTCAGATTACCGGAAAATGGCCGCCGCCGCCGCTTCATCGGAGGAGAAGTCCGTTCAGATCGAAATTCAGGTATCAGCATCTCTTCCGATGAGCGTGTAGAATCTCTTTTTGCTGTTTGTTTGAATTTTGGAATCTCTGGATTCCGTCTTAGTGTTTTGGCGTTTCGGAACAGGGGAATGACGAAGTGGATCAGGGGAGGGAGAAGGATGAGAAGACGATTCCGGTATCATCAGTTTAGATGCGCACTGATAGTTTGACTTAGTTCCCAAATTTAGCCTAGGGTTTTGATTGTCTGATTTTAGGGGATTTGATCTTGGTGTGTTTTTTCTCTACGGGATAGGTTATCAGCAGCTCCGATGCCGTGGATCAGGGCAAGGAGAAGGAGGGGAAGGGCTTTCAGATTGAAAACCAGGTATAGTCTCTGATCTGTCTAGGGGCATTGGTAAGAAAGTGATCTGCTTTGTTTGTTCTTTGATTCTGAGATTTGTATTTTTGTGACAAGGTGATTGCCTGCAACACATTGGATCGGTGGAATGAGCATTTCACAAATGGCTTGGAGAGCAAAAAACCGGTATGACGAGCACAGATATTAGGAGAATCTGGTTTTTCTTTTCCCCCTTTCCCACTCCCTCTCCCTTCTTAGATCCGTACTTTCTGTTTTTCTCTTATCCAAGGGGTTTCGTTCTCATGAATCAATTTTGGGGATTTAGTACTTAGTGGACTTTGTCTTGCTTTATACTTTTTGTGATCTAACTTACGTTGTGTTGCATTACTGTACTCTTTAGCCTTTAGATTTAGTTATTGACTAATTGGGCAAGCGAGTGAGGTTTGGAATCAGGGATTTTGTTCTTAAGCTTAGTTGAGTTCTCCTATTAGTTTTGCATTTTAGGATAGCAAGTCTTTTATGAAATGCAGTAGCTCTTGATGTTGTTATCATCTCATGAATATCATCTCATTATTTCATACTTTATGTGTAGATTTTCATATTTGATCTTTTTTCTATAAAAACAACAAACTCTGTATAATTTCAACCCTGTAGAAGTCGAGAGTCAAAAATGTACGCAACCTTAAACCTAAAAAAGAGAGAGGTTGTTCCCGTTAAACCCTAGATGTAACGTTGCATATCCTATCCAGAAAGCTAAAATACGGTTAAATGTGTCATTTTGATTTAGTTCATTATTTATCCAAAGCAAAAATATTCTCAAAATGTCTTTTCATAGATGAATGTTTTTTTTTACATTTTCTTAATATAACATTCTCTTTAGTTCTTTTTTTGGTAAATTTGTTTACTTGATCAAGTCAGAATTGATTTTGATATTAGCTGTTCTTAAAGTATTATCACTAGTTTTCTCTTTTAACTCCGTTAACTTGTCTTATCTTATACCACGAACTGGATATTATTTTTCTCATTTTTTGATTAATTAGTTTTTATTGTTATTCTTTTGTGCCCCTCTGATTAGAGAAATTCACGTGTTAGGTTGATTAGATTGTGTTTCGATGGACTGTTTCTAAGATTTCTCTGAAGGAAACTACTAAAACTAGTTATGGATACACTGTACCCGAACACTGGACTGGTCACCACTGTGCTAGGCCCATAGCTTTGAGGCATGTGCTTTGTAAATGGATCGACAAAGTTTCAACTCCTTTCAAGCTCGGCCTTTGTAGGCCTCGCCAGCTGTTGCTTGGCTCGGCCACGTGCACATGTTGTCTCCCTAACCCACATTGGACTAATCGTTTTGGACTTTCGGCCCAAATCCGTTTAGATACCTCATTCTTTCTTTGGCTTTCACTTCTTACACCGTCTCTCAAACTACATCAACTAGAAATGTGGAGGTGTTTAGTTTGTAGTTACATGTGTGATTTTCCCCCCTTTTCTTATCCCAAAACTAATGGTGATTTTTTTGCAACGATTGACTTGCGTTATGACGGTGTAAAACGTTATAGGTTGTGATATATTTCACTGCATCTTGGTGTGGCCCTTGCCGCGTGATTGGTCCAACCTTTTCTGACATTGCAAAGAAAATCACCGGTGCAATCTTTCTAAAGATCGACGTTGACGAGCTAGAGGTAAGCCTTGAAGTCACTCTACAAATAAAATCTTAAAAATAACCAGAGAATCTATGATTTCCAATAGTTATGAGATATCAAATCCGAAATTCTTCATGCAGGCTGTCGCACAGGAGTACGACGTGCAGGCAATGCCAACTTTTGTGTTCCTGAAGGAGGGAAAGGAAGTGGAGGAGAGGGTGGTGGGTGCAAAGAAAGATGAGCTGCACAAGACAATAACTAAGCATTGCAGCAGCTAAAAATGAAAACAAAAATGAACCCTTTTTCTAATACTATATATAAAAGGTTCAGTTTGTAACAACATACTGTATAATAATTGTGACACAAATTACCCTCCAGACTTGCCTCTTTGGTGGTGTGTATCTGTAGGGATAAATGTTGGATTTCCATATGTAACTGGCCTTCTTAATTGGCTGCTATTTTATTTCCTTGTTTATTTATTGTATCGTTTTTTTTACGTTATACTACGTATTTCATTTGTATTATCCTATATAATCGGTTGAAATACTCAAAATTTAGTCGTTTCTGTTTGGATGCACGAGAACACAAAAACCCACTCTATTTCATCACTTCTTTGTATGTTATGGATTATATCTGAAACTGAAAGCTTGAAAGAAAGAAAAAATGGACAAATCAGAATTTGAGTGGTATTCAGAGGTTGTTTGGCAGTGCGTTGTTTTAAGAATTTAGTTTCTGTTTTGAGTCGAAGTAGTTTTATTCTGTTTGGCATGTGCTTTTCTCCATCACTATTTTGTACGTTGAAGACTGTCTCGAAGAAGCAGTTACGAAGTGCTTTTGCTTTCAGCTTTTGTGAAAATCACCTTATTCACAAGTTAATAACTCTCAAACACCCTCTAAAACATTGTCTGGTTTCATAAGACCTGATTTAAATGTCTTAATTAGTCACCAAAGCAAACTAAAATTGAACACAGAACACGTCTAAAAAATTACGTTGTGTACACTGAACATTTTATATTGTTTAATTACGCTAGAACAAAAGAGATTACAACTGAACCATCCTTTGTTACACTCCAAAAAAAAACATATCAGTCCTAGCACTTTCCCTTGTCTACCATATATACCCCCGTGGCTTAATAAATTATGTACATATAATAATAACTTTTGGCTGGGGTTATTAATTAATTAATTATCACCATGAAGCTTTCATGGTGTTAAAAGATGGGCTGAAAATGAGCTGTCCAGTGGCCAAAATATTCTTGGGATCAAACTGTAATTTCCTCTGGTAAAACCTCTCCCATTTCTCATCCCCAAAATGCCCTTTCCATTCTTGCTGTGTGGTGTAGTGAGGGAGGTATTGCTTGATGTCCATTTCAGTCTCTTCGCAGAATTTCAGGATTTGTTGGTTTTGGTTCCTCAGGCTTTCTAAGGTCTCGTCGTCCACCGCAGACCTCAGAAACGCCACCAGGTAAAACACCTCCTCGTCCGGCGTCACCGCCGATGTCCTCTCGTCCCATCTGTTCATACAAAAACCACCCAAAACCATTTAGGACCAGTGAGAGAATTAATGTCTTTTGAAATGTCCAAAAAAAACACAGTAATTATTTTTGAGACGAATGGTTCTGTTTTTTTGAGAAATGGTTTTCTACTGAGTTTACACCATTGATGAAACTACTATATTTATTCCTACTCCCGTCCTATACTATTCGTTCTATATGACTTTTTAAAGTCAATCTGGATAAACATTAAACTTCAATTAAGTATAAAACTATAATGCATATGAGTATAAAAATAATTTTATTAAATTTAATCTATGTAGAACTTTCAACATTTTATTTAATTTCATAGGATTAACGTGCAATACAATTTGAGAGCAATTAATAATTAAAATTTGTTTTATTTGACTCAAAAATCTAAAACTGGACGAATATTATCGGACGAGCAAAATAATTGATTATTAATGGATAGGTATTTGTGAGGGAGAGGTGTTATCAATAATGTCTCACTAAAGCATGTTTTTTTTTTTTTACAAAGGGGCATGTGGTGTGGGGACGCTTTAGTCTTTTTCTTCTCTCTTTTTGTTTTACTAACGGTTTTAGAGGGAAAAAAAAATTTACAAAAAGAGATGCAATGCAGGACACATGTGAAAAGGGAGGGGCCTAAGGTGAGACCTACCAAACTGCAAAAACGTACCAACAAATCCAGAACAAAATCTTATAATGTCTTAATAAAGAGATATATATGTGCATGAAAACAAGGAAAGTGTCATAAAAAAGCCATAACATGAAATTATAAATTAATAATAGAGTAATGAAAAAACCATATAATAAAATATAATTATTGGCCGGCCTGTCCTTACGTCTGGGTAACAGGTAACATTATTATTATTATTATTATTATTATTATTATTATTATTATTTGTAGGACATTTGCATGCTTCCATGCACTCTCCTCGCCAAATAACTAATTGGAAAATGACAAAACCTTCCAAATCTGTTTTAAAATTAATTAAAGATATTGTTTTGTAACTCAAAATGTTGATAACTTTTTCTTTTTTTACAAATAATAGTAATTGAAATGGGATTGTGTTGATTTATGAATTCACTCTTAAGGAATAATTGTGTACATGGATGTTTATATAGGTGAGGATCCCTACATGGATTAGGATTCACCAAATAAGTAAACTAACATAAATAACAATTCTACTATAACTAGACTTCTTTCCATATATGTCTAACATCCCCCCTCAAGCTAAACGCCGTGAAATGAGAGGAAGCTTGGCAACCAATGCAGTGTAGCGTGGCGAGGCAAGAGCTTTTGTGAGAAGGTCTGCCAGCTGCTCATTAAAAGGAACATAAGAGACTGTCATTTTCTCTGCAATTACTTGTTCTCGAACAAAGTGGCAATCCGTTCCGACATGTTTCATGCGCTTATGGAAGACTGGATTCTTAGTCAAACAGATGGTGGACTGGTTGTCGCATAGAAGATGTGACAAGAGTTTCAACCAAGTGACGGTGCTTTTTTTCAGCGACACCATTTTGTTCAGGAGTGTAAGGACAAGATTTTTGATGAAGAACCCCCAAATTTTGTAAAAACAGACCAAACTTTTTATTGACATATTCCCTCCCATTATCTGTGCGAAACAGCTTAAGACGTGCATTGAACTGAGTTTGGACCATAGATTGGAAACTAAGAAAAGCATCAAATGCATCAGATTATTTTTAAGAGGGTACAACCAGCAAAACTTGGTATAATCATCAATAAAATTAGTATAAAAATGATAACCTCCAAAGGAGGGTACAGAAGTAGGTCCCCATACATCAGAGTGAACAAGCTCAAAAGGAGCAGAAGTTTTAGTTTCAGACACAGGGAAGGGGAGTTTATGAGACTTAGCAAGAGAACAAGAATTACAATGATCAAGATGCTGAAATTTAAAACCTAATTCAGACAATAACGACTTTGTGACTGAAGCTGAAGGATGACCAAGACGACAGTGCCATNGAGAAGCCACAAAGAGACTTGATTAAAATTGACTGTGGCAATATTGGTGCGAATGTTTTGCTTGAGAGAGGCGTAGTCGGCCGGTAGACCGCGAAGAACACACAAAATAATATCTTGTTCAGAGATATCTTCATGTGCCAATTTGAGAGACGACACAATGGTGAGAACAGTATCCAAGTACGTTTGCATTGAATCAGTGCCCTTAGTAACACTGTGCAAGCGCTCCTTCAATTGAAAAATATGAGTGCGTGAAAGAGAATTGTACCGTTGTTCAAGATGATTCCAGATTGCAGCATAAGTGGGAAGAGCATGAATATGAGTTTGAACAGTGGGGGAAACAATCGCAAGGAGACAGGCCCGAATCTGAGCATCAACAATAAGCCATGATTTATACGCTGGATTTGGTTTCATAACCGGGGGTGCATCCTTGCTTGGTGCCGTAGCCTTCTCATCAAGAATAAGAGCCGGTGGTGATGGTTCAGATCCATCAACATAACTGAGTAAGCGATGAGCAAGAAGATTTGCACGAACGGTAGCAGACCAAGAGGGATAATTGGTGTCATCAAGCTTGACCGGAGTTAGGGATTGAAGATTTTGGACAAACAATTTGAGACCCGTAGGAAGATGATCCATAGGATCAGGTGATAAGACAGCCATGACTGGTCACGGCGGAAGCTGGTGCGAGGGAGAAGCAGATCGGCAACGCCGATTTTTTTTTTCCGGTTAACGCAGCGACGGAGTAGGTTGAGACGGATCTCCGTGCTCTAATACAATGTTGATTTATGAATTCACTCTTAAGGAATAATTGTGTACATGGATGTTTATATAGGTGAGGATCCCTACATGGACTAGGATTCACCAAATAAGTAAACTAACATAAATAACAATTCTACTATAACTAGACTTCTTTCCATATATGCCTAACAGATTGAACTTACTTGTTCTTGTTCATGGGGTATATGAGGATGGGCCCACTTGTCTTATTCTTGTTCCCCAAAATGCCCTTGAACACCCCTTTGTCAAACTCCTCTATTCTTGATTTGGGCACGAAGAGGTTCAGCCATGGGTGCGGCACCTCCCACAGCCCCTTGGCCCGCAGCTTCACCTCCGCCTTGTGGACCCGGTCGAGAAAGTCCACGTACGACAGGTCCGTCGTGAACACGGAGTTTTGTATGAAACTCAACTTCTTCATCAACACCTCGATTTCCTGCGCGTTGATTCGCCCGTCACAAACGTCACACATTTTAAACGACGCGTTTAGAAAATGAACGAATGTGGACACACCCGACGTCTACATTCAATCATTCTCAAAAAAGAACATGAACGTGAACGTGTATTATGTCTACATTCATTCATTTCTGATGGTAAAGAATTTACCTGGTCGACGGTGTCGGCGGTAGAGAGGTCGTAGTTCTTAGTGATCTCGAGACAGTACAAGACGCCTCCCTCGGGTTTAACGACGGAGGAGAACTTGACAGGGTTGTGGGAAGAGAAGAAGGAAGATCTCCAGTTGTTAATGAGGCCTTCATCTACTATAACGAAACCTTCGACGTAATCGAACTTTTCGGCGGCTGGTTTTCCATGCAGAGATATGAGATATTCTTGGTCATCCTGAAATGACCCGAAATCCGAATACAGCACCCGAATCCACCTCACCTGTTATTTCACTTTATTATTAATTCCATTCACGAAATTTTTATAATTCATATTTTTTTAGCATTTATTATAAAAATAAAAAAATATAACAAATTAAAATTTACCCTTTGAGGGGCAGGTTCAAGTGCAATGCGAGCCCTTGTGATAATTCCAAACTGACCTAAACCGCCCAGAGTTGCATGGAACAGTTCAGAGTTTTGGTCTTGTGAACATGTTACAATTTCACCTTTACCTGTTTTTTTTTAAATTAAAAAAAGAAGAAAATTAAGAAGTAATTAATTATAATTCGACATGTACAAATAATAATAAAATGTGCACGATAAATAATAGTGCTGAAAAAAAAGAACAGAATAGAAATTAGCTGGGGTCGGAGGTGGCCCACTGATGATTGAAGCATACGTGGAATTACGATATTCAATTATTGGAGAAATTTATTTTTTTTATTTCTTGTTTTATGTTTTTATATATAAAACAAAAATAATAAAACATCCCATGTGATAATTTTATCTGATCTTATGTATACATTAATGCATGTATATGTAAAATATATAATTTTATATGTAGTTATGTCTAGAAAATCTGCTCTTAATAAATAATAATGAATGTAACTAAATTTAATCACGTCAGTTAGGTGGGTTGAACATATTAACAAACATTGATAATCATATAATTTGTTGTTATCTAACTAATTGTAGACCCAACTGTGCCATGGATTTTCGGCAAAAATCAAGCAGATATGGTTTTATTTAGTGATTTGACTTGGTCAAACAAAATATTCTCGTTTTGAAATTTAATTAAAAAAAAATTCTTGAACCTCATTTTTATATAACTTTTAAAAAGAAAGTTACGTTTTATTTTTTGTGCATTTCATAAAACACTGATATATTGTCTCAAATGCCAAAAAAAAACTTTCAAAAGTCATTCTACCCACATTAAAAGATAGATGTGTAGAAGTATTTTTTGAGATATGCAGAAAATAAAACGAAACACCTATGATTAGTGTTTCGTTTGGGATGGAGGGAGTATTAATTAGTGTCATTTAGGAGTAACACCTATGATTCACAAACTTAGAACAAAATAAATAAATAAATTGCAAAATTAACCATACATTGAGTAGAATACTAGAATTTTCTCTTTCTAAATATTCCTTAAGCGAATATGACGTAATATATTTTTATCAAGTACGAATCTTATTGAAACGGATTAAATTATGCAGAGTATATATTATTCCCTCGTGTCCAAATTAATCTATATGGTTAATTTCACTTTAAATGGTTTAAGAGAAATGCAGAGAAGTAAATAAAGTTTAATTTGTTCAGATGACACAAAAAAGATTATATATCTTCTCTATTTTTTTATATATAAAAAAAGAGAGAAATGTGACATTCTACAATTCCTTTGTAACAAATTATACTAATACATATATATAGTGTGACAAAAGGAGGAATGCTCTTTTCATTTTCTAAATTTGGTAAGGGTCCAACTAAAATATTATTTATGGATACACCACTGATGACGTGCCCATATATGTAAATAAGAGGTGGGAGGAGGACTAAAGAGCAAAGAACACAAACCAGTGACGACGTCAAGCTCGTGGACGTTACTAATCTGAGGGCCATGATTGAACGCTTGTCCGCTGATCCCCGCGTTAGAGAGCGTACCCCCGACCGAAAGGTACAAGTAATCGGTCCACGATTTGGGTGCGAGTCCATACTCCAACGTGCACCTCAGCACATCCACCCACAGCTCCCCGCCCCACACATCCGCGTACATCCTCTCCGCCCTCACCCCCACCCCCTTTCTGCCCCCGCCGCTCATCTCCACCACCACCCCGTCCCTCACCCCGGCCTGCCCGTTGATCGAATGCCCGTGCCCCCGAGCCGACACCGCGAACCCGTGCTCGGACTCGTACGCGGCGCGGACGAGCCGCGCCACGTCTTCCGCCGACTCGGGACGCAGGACCGCCATTGGCTCTTTCCTCTGCATGCCCCCGAAGTCGACGGAAGCCGCTTCCAGCTCGGACGGCTCGACGCTGAGCCGTCCGCGCACGGACAGGTCGGAGAGCTGGGTCGGGTCTAGCGTCAACCCGACCGCGACCATTAACCTGCACGCCGCGGCCAGCGCCAGCACAATCCTCCTCGCATCCATATATAGTACGGCCGCCGGAATGTGAAATATAAAACGGGAGGAGGAGGAGGAGGGTGGCGGTGGCTAACGTGCGCCGGGACTGTGTTTCTTTAATTAAAAGAACGTGGTAACAGTAACACAATCCTGCAAGATCATGCAGAACTTCTTTTTTTTTCTTTTTTTTGAAGAACGTTTTACTCGTTCTCTCTCTAACTTTTTTTTTTAAAAAA